TCGTGCCCCCTGAGGAGGGAAGGACAGGGAAGGAACACAGCAGCCTTACTCCAGAAGGTGGCACCAACCCTTTGGCTTTATGGAGACCTGCATTCCTGGAGACAGGCCAGGGAGGAGCAGGGCCACAGCCAGTCACAGGGCATCACCAACAGAAGCATGACACAGCAGGACAACCCTGTTCACATCCCCAGGGTGCCTGGGAGCAGAGGGCAGGCTGGCGCACAAGCTGTTCCGGGACCTCTTCGCTAACTACACAAGTGCCCTGAGGCCTGTGGCAGACACGGACCAGGCTCTGAACGTGACCCTGGAGGTGACACTGTCTCAGATCATCGACATGGTGTGTGGTGCTGCCCGTAGCCGGGGGTGTGTGTTTAACAGGGCTTGGAACAGCGGGAAAGATGATTATGGCCCCAACATCTGTTCAGTAGATGTTGCCCTTCTTTTTTTCTTTTTTAATTTTTGGTTTAGGGGACACACCTGGTGGTGTTCAGGGCTTACTCCTAGCTCTGTGCTCAGGGACCACTCCAGACAGGCTCAGGGGACCATATGGGGTGCTGGGGATTGGACTGGGTCGTTAGATGCAAGGAAAATGACATACCCACTCACTCCAACCCCATGAAATGTTAACTTTAACAGCAGTACCAGTGACCGACCATTGAGGGCCCCTGGTGTGGCCTGAGCTGCAAGCACTCTAATGCCAGCCTCACAGAAATTAGCCCCTGCAGTGCTGAGGGAGGAGGCCCAGAGAAGACAGGTGGGGGGTGGGAATGGACAGGACAGCACCTGGGCTCTGCAGATGGCTCACAGGGAAGGTGTGAAGAGACACACAACCACGCCTGGACCCACAGCCTTCTCGTCCCCCCACCAACTAGGACGAGAGGAACCAGGTGCTCACACTGTACCTGTGGATCCGACAGGAGTGGACAGATGCCTACCTCCAGTGGGACCCCGACGCCTACGGAGGCCTCGACGTCATCCACATCCCCAGCACTCTCGTGTGGAAGCCGGACATTGTCCTCTATAACAAGTATCCACTGCAGGGTCCTCCCCTCTCCCATCCCTCCCAGGAGCTGTCCTTGGTTCTATGCATGCATCCCCTCCCCACTCCACCCCTTCACCCCTTCTACTCATCTAACCCTGGGTGCCAGGCAGACGGAGAAGCTCTCCAACAGGACCCTTCTAAGCTACCAGGTGCTCACCATGGCACCCCAATTTTGAATGATCCTGAGCCAGTCTTACTCAGATGTGTCCGGAGAACCTAGAGAGGGTCTGAGGTGTGGGGGCTCCCTTGCCGGGCAGCACCCTGGGTTCTTAGGCTTCTAGGAAAATGCCTAGGAATTCCCCCTCTGGATCATCCCCTCTAGCACGTTCCTGACTCACCTGAGCCGTTCTATAAACCACACCACTCCGGGTCTCTGAGATCAGAGTGACATTACAACAGGTAGGGCGCTTGGCTGGCAAGATTCGATCCCAAGTATCCCATACAGTCCCCTGAACCTGCCAGCAGTGATTCCTGAGCTCAGAGGCAGGAGTAAGTCCTGAGCATCGCATCCGGTGTGGCCCCCAAACAAACAAAACACCTGGCCCTTCTATTAGGGGCTTTGCAGAGGGCATCCCGGAAAAGACACTTTATCAACTTTTGGTGCTCACTTTTGCGCAAACCTTTTGAGACTGCCTGGGTTCCAGCTGTGCCCCTTCCGGCGCGGCCTCTTCCAGGCCCCTGGAAGGCCAGTCCAGGGGCGGTGGTGGGGTGGGGCCGTCTGGTCCCGGTGGCCTCTGCAGCCCCGCCCGTGTTCGCAGGGCCGACGCGCAGCCAACGGGCTCGGCGCGCACGCACGTGGTGCTGCATCACAACGGCGCGGTGCGCTGGGACGCCCCGGCCATCACGCGCAGCTCGTGCCGCGTGGACGTGTCGGCCTTCCCGTTTGACGCACAGCGCTGCGGCCTGACGTTCGGCTCGTGGACGCACGGCGGCCACCAGCTGGACGTGCGGCCGCGCGGCGAGGCGGCCAGCCTGGCCGACTTCGTGGAGAACGTGGAGTGGCGCGTGCTGGGCATGCCCGCGCGCCGGCGCGTGCTCACCTACGGCTGCTGCTCCGAGCCCTACCCCGACGTGACCTTCACGCTGCTGCTGCGCCGCCGGGCCGCCGCCTACGTGTGCAACCTGCTGCTGCCCTGCGTGCTCATCTCGCTGCTCGCGCCGCTGGCCTTCCACCTGCCCGCCGACTCGGGCGAGAAGGTGTCGCTCGGCGTCACCGTGCTGCTGGCGCTCACCGTCTTCCAGCTGCTGCTGGCGGAGAGCATGCCCCCGGCCGAGAGCGTCCCTCTCATCGGTGAGTGCGCCCCTTCACTTCACCCCATGGGAGGCCCCGGGCCTGGGGTGAGCGGGGTCCCCTTCAGTGGGAGACAGGGAGCTCCTGGCCTCCTGAGACGGGAGGGGAAGGAATGTGCCCCCTTCCTGGGAGGAGGTGCCTGAGGAGCGGAAGGAAGACTTATGGGAGCATGCATCTGTGTGCGTGTTTGTGTCTGCAGGCATGCGTCTGTGTCTGCACGCATGTGTCTGTGTGTCTGCACGCATGCATCTGTGTGTGTCTGCATGCATGCATCTATGTATGTGTCTGCACACATGCATCTGTGTGAGTGTGTGTGTGTCTGCATGCATGTGTCTGTATATGCGTTCTGTCTGCATGCATGCATCTGTGTTTCCCAGACACACAGCCAAGACAAGTGCTTTACCATTGAGCTATATCCCCTGCCCTGGAAGGGGAATATAGTGTTTGGTGGAGGGAGATTGAGGTCCCCATATCAAACTAACAAGGAAAATGCCCTCAGGGTGGGGCCAGAGATATATGGGGATGGGGGGACAAACCACTTGCTCTGCACGAATGTGACCCAGGCTCAGTCCCCAAATCCCATATGGTCCCCCAAGCCCGCCAGGAGCACAGAGCCAGGAGTAAACCCTGAGAACCGCTGGGTGTGGCCCCCAATCCATATAAGTCCCCAGGGGCTGGTGGGGGGTGGGGGGTGACCTTTATTCAGGCAGGGCAGCATCTTCGCAGCCCCATGCATGGGGTGAGGTGCTAGTGCTGGTGCCAGGGTCACTGACACCCCCAGGTTCTATGTGTGTACTTGACTCTCTCACTGTGGATGAATTCAGCCGCCAGCAGCTTGGGAAGCACCGAGGAGACAAGTCGTTTCCAGAACCCGCTTGGTTGGGAGGCCTCAGCCCTCACCCCATCCTGCTTCCTTCTTGAGGGTCCTGAGAGCTTGTACTGGGGTCACAGCCGGGCACAGACCCAAGCGTCTGCCTGGGCCCAGCACACTCTCTTCCACAGGGAAGTACTACATGGCCACCATGACCATGGTCACCTTCTCCACGGCGCTCACTATCCTCATCATGAACCTGCACTATTGCGGGCCCAGCGCCCGCCCCATGCCCGCCTGGGCTCGTGCCCTCCTGCTGGGACGCCTTGCCCGGAGTCTGTGTGTGCGGGAACGAGGAGAGCCCTGTGGGCAGTCCAGCCCCCCAGAACGTCCCCCCAGCCCACAGCCACCTGGGAGAGAAGATGGCCCCCCCGCAGGTCCTTGCCGTGAACTGCGGTGCCTGTGCCGGCAGGAGGCCCTGCTGCAGCACGTGGCCGCCATCGCCAGCGCCTTCCGCAGCCACCGGGCTGCCCAGCGTCGCCTCGAGGACTGGAAGCGCCTGGCTCGCGTCCTGGACCGCTTCTTCCTGGGCGTCTTCTTCTCCATGGCCCTGGTCATGAGCCTCCTGGTTCTGGTGCAGGCCCTGTGAATCCGGGGCTGCAGGGAGGGCGGGGGCTGCAGGCAAAGCACCCCAGTGGGGTGAGGGGAGACCTTCAGGGAGGCCACCCAGTCTTTTCTCACCGCATCTAGGAGCCTGAGACCCCCCCTCTTCCGGGATCAGCACTGCTGACTTCACAGAGTGCCGGAAGTACCCTCACCCTAAGTGCACCAAACCCCTCATTGCTAATGACTGTCTCTCGACAGGGGCAGCGCTCCACGGGCTGAGCACAGGCTCTGCACATGGGACCCCCAGGCTCCATCCCCAGCACTGTTGGGTGTAGCCCCGAACACTGTCATGTGGGGCTCCCAAACCTGATGTTGTTGATCCCCTCCACCTTTCAATGATCTATTTTTTTAAGTTCAAAGTGCTGCCCTCGAGGGCTGGTGTTGACCTTGGATGAGGGAGAGGGGGATACAGGCAACTAGGGCCGAGTTCCCAGTTCTTCTTGACTCTGGCCATGTAAGTCGCGGTCTCGCCTGCCTGACCCCAGGGCTCAGAGGAGGACAGCCAAGATAGTGGGTTCATGGTCTTTTCCAGAGCAGATGGTCATGGTAAAGCAGGCGCCAAAGCCCTGCCTACTAATAAAGCGTGTCCGGATTCCCTGGTGTCCTGTCTTCCCTGTGGGACCCGTGGTTGTAGAAACTGGGGACCCTGGTTTGTCTCCTGAGGCAGGAGGTGTAGGAGTCATGGGTCAGAACAGAAACAGCACGGAGCTGGGAAGGGGCTGAGCCCTGGGGGGGACCCTGAGCCCTTTCTTTCAGCCGGCCATGTCTGGGGGGCTCCACTCCCCTGACTGCAGCATTCAGAGAGCTGAAAAGTGTCCATTGGAGGGGCAATGCAGGATTTTTATTTTGAGGAGCGGGGGAAAAAGCTGCTCATTCTCGGCCAGCCGGGCCATTTGTTCAATGTGAGGTCCAAGGGTGGCACTGTGTAGACTCTGGTGCCAAGAACCACCCCAACTATCCAGGTAGTGCTTGGGCAGCCTCCAGGGCTACACCCAGAGATGCTCAGGGGACCACCTGGGTTGGTGCATGCAGTGCAAGGGCTTGATGCCTTCTACTTCCTCTCTGGCCCCCATGAGATTTTTTCTGAGAGCTGGAGATTTGGCTCGGCTGAGGAACACATGTCTTGTGTGTGTGAGTCCCTGGGTTTGATCCCTGCCCCCCCCCCCCCACACACACACACACACCACACTTCCTTTTCTGGGTTTCACATTCCCTGGCCCTGCCTCTGTGCCTTAGGCACCGTCTTCAGGCAGCTCATCCACTGACCAGGGGCTCAGACATGGGCCTTTGACCCAGAGAGGCACAGAGACATCCCCAGCCCAGCAGGCTTGGAGAGGTGAGGGTCAACGTCCCTGGCAATGAGGGCAGCACCCCAGCTGCACGTGAGATGCATCTGAGGGGCACCATGGCCATGTGATTTCCTCCCCCACCCCCTTACCCCCTAAAGACCACACACACTTTAATTCAGATCTTCTCTCCACAGAGTTGCCGCCAGTCTTGGGGTCCCTCCACCCTGCTCCCCATCACACTCCATCCCCAAAGTGCATTCCCAAATCTCCTGTTTCTCCACCAGCAGGCCTAGCAACTGCCTGAGGGTCCCAGCATCCCTGGAGACTGGAGTGGCATGGACCTGGCACTCAGCACACACATGGCCAGCATCCTGGCTCCCGGGGCCCAGTGAAGACAGCAGGTGCTGTTCCAGCTGAGGGGTCAGAGCTGGCCTGGGCAATCTGGAAACGCCCTCCATGCCAGGAACCAGAGCAGCAGCAGGAGTGACCAGAGCAGGGGAAGGGGGCCCTGGCCCGTGGCTGTGGAAAGACAGAGAAACTTGTTTGGGGGAGAGGGTGTGGCTCAGGGGTCACTCCTGATGGGCACTGGAGGACCACATGGGGTGCTGGAGATTGAACCCAGGTCTGCTGCGTGCAAGGGAAGTGCCTTATCCACTGTGCTTTGGCTCCAGCCCTGGGAAAACTGATGTTCTTAGGGGTGAAGTGAAGCATAGGCAGAAATGAAGTGCTGGGATAGAGTGGGCACAGGACACATATGTGACAGCAGATGGAGACAAAGAGCAGGAGTGAGGGAGGAAGGAAACAGAGATGCAGACGCCTCCCGAGGCCAGCAGGTCCAGTCCCACCTCCTGGGACGCTGCAGGGTGAGCTGAAGCAGGGGGAGGGAGTGGGGGGGGGGTCCGAATGGGATTTCATGGTGCTGGTCTTTGTTTTCCTGTGTAAACCCTGGTCAGAGACATGCTGGTGGATCAAGGGCAAACCCCAAACTTTCCCAGGCTCAAATTCTATTTCAGAACATAAGCCAGGTGGGAGGTTTTGGTCCTGACTCTGCCACCATCTCTGTCAACTTGGGACCTTGAGCAAGTCACTTCTGTCTATGGGTGTCACTTTAGTTTGGCCTTGATGGTGCTTAGTCACTGCTCCAGCCCTGAGCAGCATCAGGGGCTGAGCATCGAACCTGAGGATTGCTCTCGGCATTGCCCTGGGGAGCGTGTAGTCAGTACCAGGGATTGAGCCTGTACTGTGTGCAAAGCATGATCACTGCCCCGTCTCTCTGGCTTCTCATTTGACTCTAAAATTAGGATGATTGGGGCTGGAGTGATAGCACAGCAGGTAGGGCGTTTGCCTTGCAAGCGACCAACCCGGGTTCAATTCCCAGCATCCCATATGTTCCCCTGAGCACCGCCAGGAGTAATTCCAGAGTGCATAGCCAGGAGTAACTCCTGTGCATTGCTGGGTGTGACCGAAAAAGAAAAAAAAGTTTGTTTTTTTATGAACAATAACCAAGTAGGGGCCCAATCCCAGGGTAGCCCGCTCACCCCCAAGGCTCCCCAGTTACCTGAGTCACCCAGATGGCAGGGCCCGGACTTGCACTGCTTGTCTGCGGGGGAGAAATGGGAGAGTCAGGACTTCAGTGGCCTCAGGACAGGAAGGACCCTCAGAGCTCTGTGGCCTGTGCCCTTAATCTAGGGTAAATTGCTGCGTTTTCTCCTCATTCTCCTTTTCTTTGCTGGGACCACCCTCCCCTTGTTCTGACCCAACCCGTGAGTGGCCCCAAGAACCCAGCCAGGCCCCATCTGGCCGCTCTTCAGTCTGCCTATAGCTTTCCTCCTGCCTCACCGCATCCCTCTTCCCAGCCTGGTCCCAGCCAAGGAGGGGCCCGGTCAGGTTTTTCCTTCGACTTCCTCATCTCCCTCCAGCCCCTGCTGCTGTCTGAAGCGGGGTCTAAAGCTGCCTGGGCCCTTTCCCAGCATAGACCCGGCCCCCAGCTTGCCTACAGCCTGGCGCTGAGGAGCTGGTGTGGGCCGGGGGTGGGGGGGAGGGGGAAAGTCCCTGGGCATCACGCTGCCAGCTGCAGCTCCTTCTGAGCTTACGAGTCCCAGGGGCTGGAGAAACAGAACAGGCGGTAGGGAGCTCGCCTTGCCCACATCCAACCTGGATTCACTTTTCAGCATCCTATATGGTTCCCTGAGTGCAGAGTCAGGAGTCATCCCTGAGCACTGCCGAGTGTGGCCCCCAAACAAAATCAAAAACGCCCAACAAACCAATTCCAATTGACCCCTGTTCCCTTGACTTCTGCTCCGGGTGGCCCTAGGATGCACAGGAACAGCATCACCACCTGCTCTAGTCTCAGCAGGAATGTAGGGGTGCAGCACTCAGCTGCCTCCTGCCCAGGCCACCTGCACAGCCTCCCCAACAGCACCGGAGTCTGCACGAATACTCCTTTGTGGCTCTGGCAATCTGGGTGCTTGTACTGAGGCTCGAGAGTGGTTCCTCCCAGCTTCTCAGGGGGAGAAAGTCCGGCTGGCACCGTGACCAAGCAAACCCTCTCGGAACCCCACCCCATCCCCGGCTCAGATAGTTCCAGGGACAGAAGCATTCCACCTGGGAATATGGGGCACCCCCTTTGGATGGAGGGAGCAGGAATACCGGAAAATAGTTTCTCCGCACTGTTGTCATGGGGTGATCAGGTTCACCATGACGTGTGTGCAGCAGTGAGGTGATGCCCAGTGAAGCCCAAGGTCTCAGCGGGGGTGCCAGACTTTCACTTCACACCCTTACCTGCTCCAGGAGGCTGAGTGTGGGGCCACCTGTCACACTGTTGGCTTTTTGTTTGTAGTGTCAGAGCCCAGGGCATGAGGGAGCCCCCCCTTCTGCACAGTGCTGTCCTGGAACAAGGTGCCCAGCTCACTTATCTTGGGGGGACTACCAAGCAGTGCTCTGGGGAACCCCCATGACCCAGGGGAGATGTAGCGAGGCTCTGCTGCTGCTGCTGCTGAGACCAGGGCCACAGCCGGTGGTGCAGGGGTGGGTGATCCCCGGTGCCTCGAGCATGCGTAGACTGCTCACCTCTGATGTACTCGCAGTTGTAGGTGCTGCGCTGGCCCAGCGCCCGGAGGTAGATGCGGGCAGGGCCCTGGGCTGGCCTGCTGGCGTTGATCACCTGGAAGGTCTCGAAGGGGGGGATGAGCACCTCCTCCTCCCCAGGAAAGAAGGAGTAGCCCCGGATAGGCGCCCCGAGGCAGGTCCAGATGCCGAAGAAGGTGTCCTCCCCAAACTGCTGGGCGGCCACGTTCTGCAGAGACGCAGAGGCAAAGCCCCCCAGCCTGACAGTGGCCCCGGGCCCCTCGGGCCGGAAGCGCAGGCCGTGGACCCCCCGGAACACCTGGCGGCACTGCGGTGTGCGCTGGCCTCTGGCCAGCAGCTGCAGGGCCTCGGTCAGCAGGAAGTGGAGGGTCTTGAAGGGGAAGTGGTGGAGGTAGTGGGTGCGGGAGCGGCCAGCCTCGCGCACGGCCGTGTTGAACGCCTTGTGCAGTGGGCTGTTGGCAGTGTAGGCCAGGAGGGCCACCCCGTGTTCGTCCCGGAAGCCGGGGGGCGGTGGGGGCGGCCGCGTGGTGCTGAGGCCCCACTCGGGTCCCCAGGCCCGGCGCTCCTGCCACTGGCTGCTGGCCAGCGCCCAGCTGTCCGCGTACACTTTGTTGGCCAGGAACTCGGTGCGGTTGAGGTCGGGGAGCGCCGCCCGCATTGCCGCCATGCAGCCGGAGTACTGGTCATCAAAGGAGGCCGGGGCCATGTCCAGCGGCGTCTCTTTGGAGAAGAGGTCTCGTATGGCCAGGGGATGGCCCTGGCCCTGAGGGAGAGGGAACGACAAGGACCAAAAGGGTGGGCTCAGGGCCGAGTGGGACAAAGTCCAGGGGGGAGGACGCTGGCCTGGCATGCGCTGACCTGGGTTGGATGCCCACCACCTCCTATGGTCCCTCAAACCCTCTAGGACCCCTGAGCACAGCCAGGTAGGGGCTGAGCACCCAGCATGCCCCTGATATACTGAGGTACATCCTCAGACCCAGACACACCCCAATGGCAGGGCAGTGCAGACCCCTAGGCTGGGGTCCAAGGCTGTTCCCTCAGCCTGAACAATGCCCAAGGGAAGCATCAAGCAATCTCCCCTCCCCCTGCTCCTCCTTCTGAAGGCAGGTGTAGCTCCCCTTTCAGCTCTCTGCTGGTGAGGACCCCCCGGCTGTGCCCTTACCTGGCATGTGGTCAGGAGGCCCATGGACACAAGGAGCAGAGACAGGGCGGCTGGAGGAGTCTTCATGGTGAAGGCGACCCTGGGCAAGTTACCGTCTCTCTTTGGGTCTCTGTTTCCTCATCTGGAAAAACGGGGGAGTTCATTTGTACGGCTTAACAAACCTTAGGCAAAGGGTCGTAAAGCTGCATCTGTGCCACCCCCAGAGCTTGGCACAGACAGAGGTTCAGAAGACCGAGTTAGGCCCCTTCTGGCTGGCAAGAACATAGGCGACTTCCTGGAGGAGGTGACAAGTGAGCAGGAGTGAACCAGGCTTCACTCAGGCACTCAGGGAGGCAGAGAACCCGCACCTCCTCTGGACGGGCACACCGAGGGTCTGAGGTGGCTCGGAGAGGGATAACAGTGTCTGAGTCAGGGCTATGTTTTTTAAATTTTCTCTTTTGCTTTCTTACAAAGTAATACATGTTTGTAAAAAAAAATGCACGAATAATTTTAGGAATAAATCACAGAGCCAAGTTCACTTTCTTCTTTTGGTCTTTCCTTTTGGTTTTGCAGTGCCAGGGATCAAAAGGCACGCAAAGTGTGTGCTCATCCTGTTGAGTTATGCCCGACCCTCGCTTTATTTCCTCCTCTTCTATTTGCTCTCGAACCCTACAGTAAAGGGGCAGCCTTCAGGACTGTGCATGTACAGATTTTGCAGTCTTTAGATATACTTACATGGGTTTTGGTATTCAGACTTACTCATTTTTTTTTTCAAAAAAGAGGAATGGAACATACTTACCTAAATATATTCTGTGACCTTTCCCCTTAGAAAATATGTTGATGGCCTCCCTTCCACGTCTCACACATCTTTTTCTTTTCCCGTTTTGGGTCACACATTGGCAATGTTCAGGGGTTACTCCTGGCTCTGCACTCAGGGATCACTCCTGGAGGTGCTGGGGAGACCATATGGGATGCCCAGGATTGAACCTGGGTCGGCCACATGTAAGGCAAGCACCTTACCTGCTGTACTATCATTCTGGACCCTTGTCCCATGTTGGATAACATTAGTTTGTCCTTGCACCTCCCAGAGGGAGCTTAGGTTTACTGAGTTACTCCCACCACAGTGCTCCCAAGGTACACCCAATTCCATCAGGCACTAATAATCCGATATTGCTTTTCTCTTTCCTCTATGTCCTTTGCATGGCTTAGCAATGTCCTTTTTGTATAGATACAAGAAGACAGTTGATGCGATTCTTTTGTAGCATGGAAGTTAATCAACTCTGAAAAATATTTACTCTTGGACATCCATCATATTTACTTGGCTTAAGCCTTAGTTGCCCTTTCTTCCTGTCATTGTCACTGTCATCCCATTGTTCATCGATTTACTCGAGTGGGCACCAGTAATGTCTCCATTCGTCCCAGCCCTGAGATTTTAGCAGCCTCTCCTTTTATTTTTTTAAAATGTAGGAGTATTACTATTTATTCAGCCATTGATTAGGCTGATTGTATTGGGCATAAACTCCACCTTACTTTTTTTTCTTCTTATAAATTTATTTGGGTTGGAGTGATAGCACAGCAGGTAGGGTGTTTGCCTTGCACGCAGACAATCTGGCTGACCCAGGTTCGATTCCTCCACCCCTCTCAGAGAGCCCGGCAAGCTACCAAGAGTATCTCGCCTGCACGGTAAAGCCTGGCAAGCTACCTGTGATGTATTCGATATGCCAAACACAGTAACAAGTGTCACAATGGAGACATTACTGGGCCCGCTCGAGCGAATTGATGAACAACAGAAGGATAGTGACAGACAGTGACGGTGATAAATTTATTTATTGAATCACCGTGAGAGCAGTTACAAAGCTTTCGGGTTTAAGTCTTGGTCATACAATGATGAAACACCCGTTCCTTCACCTGTGCCCATTCTCCACCACCAAAAACCCCAGTATAACCCCATCCCACACCCTCCCCCTACCTGTGATGCAGATGATTTCTACGTTACTCTCTCTCCACTTTGATTACATTCAATATTTTGACACCAGACCCACCATTATTATTTGGGATTTTACCCCAACACTCAGATCTAGCAGCCTCTGCTTACTTGTCTTTCCCAATGATTGGGGGCTCTTTCAGGGTCAGGGGAATTATTACTTAGTGAAGTAATTGTTATTCTTCCTAACACCCCCAAAAGTACGGTCCCAGCAATGGACAAGGATGGACTCAGGGAAAGCAGTAATCTACCCTGCACTAAAAAGGGACAAGCTAAGCACCATAAGAAGTATAATAAGTTAAGAGTGCGATCATGGAACAAACCCTAACTCTGTCATGACCCCAACAGAAATAACTGAATAAGGACCCTGCTGGGGTTAGGAAAGAGTAACCTGGCCTGAGGACTGTAGTCTGGAATATATACCGAGATGTCCCCAGGAAGTCAACCTTAAAGGTTGAATTAAGCTTAAAACTTAATATATCTCTTACTGTGTTCATACAAAATGACTAGATATATTAGTAAGAAGCACATTTAATGATTGTCTAAATGGATTACTAAGGAAAGGAGAAAGCAATACGCCCTTATGGAATCTGACACTTGAGTGGATCTCCTAGTAATCTAGAGTGCTGAATCCCCAGATAAGACTTTGTCCCTAAGTTAATATCTTAGAAGAACTTCCCTAAAAGGAGGGGCTTTCAGAAACTGGAAGAAACCTGAATGCCCAAGAACAGATGACTGGTTAAAGAAACTTTGGTACATCTACACAATGGAGTACTATGTAGCTGTTAGAAAAGATGAAGTCATGAAATTTACATACAAGTGGTACAACATGGAAAGTATCATGCTAAGCGAAATGAGTCAGAAAGAGAGGGATAGACATAGAAAGATTGCATTCATCTGGGGGATCTAAAGTAACAAAATATGAGATTAATACCCAAGAATAGCTGAGATCAGCACCAGGAGGATTACTCCATAGCTTAGTGGCCAGTCGGGCATTCTAGAGGAAAGGGCAGCTCAGATAGAGAAGGGAACACCAAATAAAGGGTGTTTGGAGGATCCTCCCAGGAGGGGAGATGCATGTCGAAAGTAGACTATGGACTGAACATGTTTGCCACTCAATGCCTCTTTTGCAGACCACAACACCCAAAAGAAGAGAGAGAACACAGGGGATTGCCCTGCCACAGAGGCAGGGGGGGATGGGGGGGATGGGGGTGGGGGGGATATCATCCATGGTGGTGGAAAATGGGCACTGGTGGAGGGATGGGTATCTGATCACTGTATAATCAAACCCAAGCACAAAAAATTGTAAATCTACAACTGTACCTCATGGTGTTTCACTAATAAAAAAAATTTTTAAAAAGGAGGGGCTTTATATCTGCTTATTGTTATGATAATATTCAACCCCACCTATGTATACCCCATCCTCCACGATTTCTGATTTCCATATAACTATGCTGTAAGAGAGAAGTAGGGAAGAAATAAATGGTGACTGATTAACAACCAGCCTGGGGCCCTGCTGCTCCCTCCCTGCTACTTCACTTCATCTGGCTGTCGGCTGGCTAGGGGAATAGTTCTCTACCATTGAACGCATGCGTCATGCACCCATAGTTTGAACTCACAGTCCCGCACATCTTGCTCATAATAAATGGGGGCCAGAGAGATAATACAGCAGGCCAGGCACGTGTGCAGACCCCTTGAGCTGCCTCCCCCTTCTCAGGCTCTTCATTTTTTCTGGCCCTGTGTTGTGAGTTTTTGAGATACTCTGGAGTCCTTGTCATCTCTCTCTCTCTCTCTCTCTCTCTCTCTCTCTCTCTCTCTCTCTCTCTCTCTTTCTTTTTTTTTTTAAACCAAGTTACTCCTGACTCTGCACATGGGAATTACTCTTGGCAGTGCTTGGAAGAACTATGTGGGATGGTGGGATGTCAGGGAGAAAACTGAGGTAGGCGGCATGCAAGGTAAGTGCCCTGCCACCCACTGTGCTATCACTGATCGCTCTGGCCCTGTCTCTCTCTCTCTCTCTCTTTCTTCTCTCCCTCCCTCTCTCTCTCTCTCTCTATTTTTCTTTTTTGCTTTTTGGGTCATACCTGGTGATGCACAGGGGTTACTCCTATCTGCACTCAGGAATTACTTCCGGAGGTGCTCAGGGGACCATATGGGATGCTGGGAATCGAACCCAGATCGGTAGCATGCAAGGCAGACGCCCTACCCACTGTGCTATCGCTCCAGCCCCTCTTTTTTTTAAGTGTAGGAGTAATGGTAATTATTCAGCCATTGATGAAACTGATTGAATTGGGCATGACCTCCACATTACTTTTTAAAAAAAATTTTAAATTGGATATCCGTGAGATAGACCATTACAAGGCTGTTCATAATTGGGTTTCGTCATACAATGATCCAGCTACCATCCCTCTACCAGTGCACATTTCCCACCACCAATGTCCCCCGTTTCCCCACCACCATTCCACAACACCCCCAACCTCCAACCCCATCCCCAGCCTCCCTCAGTGGGAGGCACTTTCCTTCTTATTCTGTCTCTCTCCTTTTCCTTTTGTGCATTTCAAGATAGGTGCTAAGAGGTCATGGTGTTTGTTCAGGGCACTCAGTATTTTTATAAGGATGGTAAGGCTAGAGTAACTTTTCAATTGGGTGGCAGCTTTGGGGTGTGGATGTGACTTTCCAGGCTTCCAGAAGTACATTGAGATGGGTGAAGGTAGCCCAATCTGACCAAGAGAAAGCCTGGAGATTTCAGTAAAAAACCCGCATACCAGAATTTTCAGCAGATTATATCTTGGTGAGGTCCGTCCTAAAACAGTAGAGTTAGGCCGGGGGTATAGCAGTGATTTTGGATTGTGAAAGAAAGCAGCTGCCAGGGTCTCTGTTTGGGTGGGCCCCAGGCCAACCCGCCCCCCTCCAATTTACCCCAGTCTGTTCATCCGTGAGTGGGTCTGAGATTAACAGTGGCTTTTGATCTCTTTGGAAATTTATTTATAGTTCTGGGGGCTGGAGCAATAGCACAGCGGGTAGGGCATTTGCCTTGCACATGGCCAATCCAGATTCAATTCGATTCCCAGCATCCCATATGGTCCTCCGAGCACTGCCTGGAGCAAGTCCTAAGTGCATGAGCCAGGAGTAACCCCTGAGCATCGCCGGGTGTGACCCCCCCAAAAAAAGCAAAAAGAAACCTGAAAATTTATGGTTCTCTGAAGCAACCGGTAGTAGAGCTTACACGGTGGCTCTGGAGTTGGTTCGTGGGGGTGATTGCCAGTGCTTCCATGAGTATTAGGAAGTGGGAGGAGGTAGCCCATCCCGACTCCGAGAAAGCCTGGAGATCTCAGTCACAAAGCTTGCATACCAGAATTTTCAACAGATTATATCTTGGTGAGCTCCATCCTAAGAAGGTCGAGCCAGATTTTATATATTTATATACATATAGCAGTGATTTTGGATTGTAAGAGCAAGCGGCTGCTGGGGGCTCTGCTTGGGCGGGCACATCTTGTCCTCTTTTTTAAAAATATATATTCATTTTGGGGGTCACACTTGGTTGTGCCAAGGGCTTACTCTGTGCTCGGGGATCACTCCTGATGGTGCTCAGGGGACGGACCACATGGGGTGCCGGGGATTGAATCAGGGTTGGCCGTGTGCTAGGCAAACACCCTACCTGCTGTACTATAGCTCTGGCCTCATTAATTCCTCTTTAGACTTTATCTAGTCTAGGGAGGGAGGCTTGTTCTAGCCCAGGCCATATTAATTTGATGTCGGAAGAGTCTTACATACCATCCCCAAAATCACCTGTTCACCTCAGAAAGTTATGGGTATCATGGTCCATTCAGCAATTCATCAAATATTATATATTAATACCTCCTGCTGTACGGCAGAGCCTGGCAAGTTACCAGTGGCATATTCAATATGCCAAAAACAGTAACAAGATTGAGTCTCATTCCCCTGACCCTGAAAGAGCCTCCAATATGGCAGCGTTGGGAAAGATGAGAAAGGAGAGGCTGCTAAAATCTCAGGGCTGGGACGAATGGAGACGTTACTGGAGCCCGCTCCAGTAAATCGATGAACAATGGGATGACAGTGATACAGTGATACCTCCTGCTGTGCCTTTACTCTACCACCCTCTTCCCCTACCTGACTCCCCTGCTAATGCCTTCTCCAGGGAGCAGGGAGAATTACATGGTTCTAAAGCACAGCTTATCCTCTTTCTTACCTGCTCAAGACTTCTGTGGCCTGGGGTCAGAGCTATAGTACAATGGATAGTGTCTTGGTCTTGCACAAACTGACCAAGGTTAATCCCTAACATCCCATATAGTTCCCTGAACACTGCCAGAAGTGATCCCTAAGTGCAGAGCCAGAATAACTCCAGAGCACCGTCAGTATAGCCCCCAAACCAAACAAGTCTTGAGTGAGGGGGTGCTGTCCTAAAAGGAAAAAACCCAAGACTCTTGTGACCCAAAACTGACGGAAAGAAATGCCTCAAATGTAAAAATGCAAAAATGAAAATTATGAGGGGAAAGATGCAAATGCAGAGGAAGAAAAAAAGTGAAACAAAAGTCTCTGAGCCAAGGAGTGAGCAGAAGACAACTCAGAGGACTGAGCATTGAGCACTGAGCACTCTTTGCATGTAGGAGCACTGAGCATTGAGCACTGAACACACTTTGCATGCAGCTCCCCGGCATTTAAGTCCCCATGGTCCACCACTGGGAGGCTCTGCTCGCTCCCTCCCATGTGGCTCTGCTCAGAGTTGTACGCTGTGGATGCCAATAGCCCCATGCACTTCCCGCTGCCACACTTCAGTCTTGCTGTGCTGCTTATGCGCCGTCTCTCCTCCTGGCCTGTGAGTTCCTTGAGAGCAGGGGCCAAGTACAGCCCTTTCAGGCAGAGGTATAGCTCAGGGAGTGAGCATGTGCCTTGCTTGTGGGAAGCTCTGGGTTTGATACATACCTTGGCACCACCGCCAACACAAAGAAATTAAAACAGTCTAAGGCATTCATTCATTCCCTGTCTCCAGAGCTCAGCCCAAGGCTGGGCGCAGGTGGGCCTCTGCTGACAACCTTGAAGTTTTTGTGGTTGCAGGTCACAATGCAGATCACTGCTTTGCAGGCAGATTGTAACTTTGGTGATCAGTGTTGGGGGGATTGAGAGTGGGCAGGGAGGCTATGGGAGTTGAGGGAGTGGAGGGATCGGGAAGTCTCTTTCCAGATTCCTTTCTGTCCTCTCCTTCTGCTTGGGGCTCTTGTCTTCCCTCCTCCAAGTCCAATTATCTTCCTCCTCGATCCCCACATTTCCCGATGGCCCCAAACTACTCTAAGATCCCCAACCTCTCTAGAGATGCTGTGAGCAACCTCATCTAAAGATGCTGTGAGCTGATGTTGATGGCCTTACCCAATACCCCACCAAATTCATGTTGAAATCCTAATGCCTGAGAGTCAGAAGTGGCGTCCGGGGTGGGAGTGATAGTACTAAGGAGATCATGAGAATGAATGGCAGAAGAGTTACATAAAAGAGACCCCACATAGTTATTTAAAGTGACAATCTGCAGCACTCAGGTGTGGCCTTGGGACCCTGAGCACAGGCCCATGAAGTCAAGTACCTCTAGAAATGTCCTTCAGGCCTTGTCCCCTAAAAACATTTTGTTTATTTTGGGGTGCTCAGGGCTTATTCCTGGCTCTGTGTTCAGGAATCACTCTTAGCAGGACTTTGGGGACCATATGGGGATTGAACCTGAGTTGGCTGTGTGCAAGGCAAGTACCCTACCCGTTGTACTATCTGTCTGGTGCCCATTTAAAAAATTTAAACAAGGGAGCAAGATGATTTCTCAAAGGGCTAGAGTGCATGCTTTGTTGCATATGGCCTGAGTTCAGTTCCAAGCACCACATGGTCCTCCCGAGCACAGCAGAAAGCAGCCCCCAAACCCAGCACCAAGAGGCAGATATGGTTCAACCACAAAGACAAAACTTTAAACCAAAAGACTCCCTCGCACCAGAGCTCTCCAGCCCCTTCCTCTACGTGAGGACCCTGAGAAAGTGGCCACTGTGAGTCACAAAGCATCTCCCACCCCTTGCTGGCGCCCTCGCCTTGGACTTCCAACGCCCCCAAATGTAAAATGTGAAAGCTGTTCTAAGTGACCCCCTCAGTGGTATTTGACTTTAGCAGCTAGAAAGGGCAAAGATAAAAATGTCCATGAGACTTTCCCTAATGTTTTCTAAAGCCCCACTATGAATATTCCCAATTTTCCCTTTCCAAAGGGTCTTTCTCTCCCAGACGGGGGATGAGGGGACCCTTACCTGTTCGCTGGGGAGGACGTAGATCTCCTGAGGGCCTCTGGGCATGGAGGGCAGATTTCTCCTTTATACCGGCACCCCACAGCTGCTGGGAAATGTGACACTCCCCCATCTATTTCTGGAAGTCCCCTCTGGGTCAGGACGCCAGCTTCTGTCCAGCCAGCCCCAGGCCAGTTCTCCTCTCATAAAGAGGAGATCCCCGAGTTTCCTTTCATCTCTTGGGAACTCTCTTAGGGTTCCAGGCCTTGGGATGGCAGAAACCATTTCCCAAGTCAGAGAGTGGAGAGAGGGCAAAGCTATGACCAGGTGACGGTCAACCAAAGGCCCAGGTGCCCCAGACATCTTTTTCTGCTCCAGCAGGTGTGTGCAAGAGGCCACTGAGATTCGTATGGGATGCTATTTTCCACAATTTTATGAGTCAGTTTTTTTTATCCTATCCAGAGGGGGTGACTCCTGATTTTCTAATCTAGGAGAAAATGGGGTGGCCAGTCTCCTTAGAAGGGGCAAAAGAACTTGTCTTGAGTTGTTTGCCTCGACAGGCTGAGTGTGTGCTTTGCCCACAGGAGACCCCACTCCAATCGCTGGCAGGGCATAGGTATTCGTGCCCCTGCCCCTGCGAAACAAACAAAAAACCAGCAATAAAAAGAATTTGCCAGTTACCATCCTAGTATGGGGAGACATCACTCTATCCACCTTTTATTGTTGTTTTGGGGTGATACCCGGCAGTGTTCACAGTTTACTCTTGGCTTTGCAGTCAGGAATCTCTCCTGGTGGTGTTTAGGGGACTATATGGGATGCTGGGGATCGAATCCACGTTGGTACAGGCTCCTCTCTTCCACCTTCTTCCCAGGCTTCTTCAAGTCAGACCCCTGAGTTGTTTTGTGTATATATATATATATATATATATATATATATATATATATATATTATAGTATATATATTATATATATGGGAGCACTTCATGCTTAGGGGTCACTCTTGCTGGGCTTGGGGGACCATATGGAATGCTGGGGATGCAACCCAGGTTGGCCACTGAGCAGGGCAAGTGCCCTACCTGCTGTACTATTGTTCTGCCTTCCTTTTGATAGCCAGGAAGCCTCTTTGGAGAAGCAGAGTTGGGAAAAGGATGGCAGAGAGGAGCTAAATGAAGGAGCCAGACCCAGAGGGAGGCCTTGGGGTAAAGTATAACCTCTTATGGCAGCCCAGCGCCAGTCGGCAGCCTGTTAAATGGGAACATCCAGGACCCCCAACTTTTCAAGCCACTTGGGGGGGGGGTGAAACCTGCCGCTCTAAGAAAGCTCTTCCCAGAGCCACTCATGATCCCGCAGCTGCCCCCTCTCCCATGACCTCCTTGGGGCGTCCAAAACTCAGCGCCAGGCTATTTATAGAGCGCATGCAGGAGGGGCACAGGCCCGGGGTTATGAACACGGGGACGCTGGGGTCTGGGGAAGGGCGGGGTGCACCAAACCCCGCTCTCCCCCATGACCCCGCTCCCCAGGAGCTGAGACTGTTGCTCAGCCTTTGGTCCAACCCCGACAAGGATAAATGTCGGGGCGGAGCAGGGAGGTGGGGTACGGTAAAGGGGATGTCCCGCCACACTTGACCCAACGGGTGGTCATACGCAAATAAATGCAAATGAGCGAATGCGTAGGCGGTGACCCCTTGGAGGACGAACCCTAATGCGGCTCCCTCGGCTCGGGGGTGGGCCCCCGCCCCCAATCAGGCCCACTCGAGGAGCCGGTCCAGTCTTATAAGCCCCCTCCGCAACCTGGGGCTCTCCCTGAAGCCCCCCAAGAAACGGTCCCGGGGAAAGAAGTCGCCATCCCGGGGAAGGGGGACACGCTGGCCCCCACCGCGCTGGTCACCGCGCCGGGCGGTGTCGGGTTACGGCCGAGGGGGCTATAGTTAGCCGGGACTTGGACTCAGCGGGGACAGCGCGACCGCTGGGTCCTGGCACCCAGTCCCCTCTCCCGCGGGGCCGGTCACCGCTCCGCCAGCAGCGGTGAGAGAGAAGATCGCGGGTGGGCGGCTCGGGAGCTGCGACCCCCGTCGCCCGGGGCTGGGGGCTCCTCCCTCTGCCCCACGGACGCGCCCTGCGCCCCGCCCTGTGCCCTACCCACTGTCGCGGCCCCTCCCCGGCCGGGCCCGAGCCCTGGGTCCCCTCCCCCGAGCGGAGAAGGGGGTCCAGGTCTCCGTCCTGCGGTCCATCCACCGGACCCCAGCCGGCCGCTCGACCCACTCTAAGTCTCCCCGGAGCTACGATGCTGGCGGCGCTGCTGCTCGCCCTTCGCTGCCTCGGCTTCCACATCGCCTGGCAGGTAACGGGACAGGACAGGACGGGAACAACAGTAGGGGGCGACCCTGAGCAGGCAGACGAGGTGGGTGGGTGGAGGAGGGGAGGAGAAAGTAGGGACTCCTCAAAAGGAACCCCAAGTTCCTATTCCCTCTCCCAGGACCGCTACCTTTGCATGGGGGAGGTGGGGGACTTGGGCCTGCTGTCTTCTTCCTTTAGCTCATTCCTCCTCACAGACCTTTGCCCATTTTGGGGTGAGCAGAAGAGGACTCTGGAGTTTTAGCTGTGCCTTGCTGTGAGACAGAAACAGTAGAAGGATGCACAGTGTCTGGTCACTCATTGGTTAGGGCTGGGCTGGCCATGGTGGACTGAGTCTTAGCCAGAGCCTGCATCGTCTAGCCCCACTTCCGGCGTCCGTCTTGGGAACCTCTCTGACAAGACTGCTGCTTTTAGGATGTTGGAAGTGAAGTTCTCAACCATACTATGTCAAGTTGAGAATCAGAAGTCAAAAAAAGGGAAGAGACTTAGGGCCTGGGGGCTGGCTCAGTGGCTAAAGGCACCTTTGACCTGGAGTCTGGAATCTCCAGGTCAAAGCTCTGCGTGCACGACTCCGAATTTGATCTCTGAGCAGCCCTGGGAGTGACCCCCAGACATTGTGCCAGGAGTAACCCCTGAGCACTCCTGAACACACAAAACCAGAAAGTGCCCGCCTTCCAGTCGAGAGGCCCTGAGCTCCATCCCTGGTCCCTCCCGCATGCACCAAGTGCAGCCACATCCCTTGACAACGGAGCGTGTGCTCTCTGGCACACCTAGGCCAGGTGTGTGCAAGCAATGCAACTGAGGGGTGTGACTGTCACCCAGCGAGCCTGTGTGTGAGCACCACAGTGACCCTAAGTGAGCGCTGCACCCACAACGGGCTTAGCACAGCTAAAAAGAGTGTGTCCCCTGCCAGCATTTGAGCAGACCCCATGGTGGGAGCATGTCATCCAGTGATACCCCCCCAGCCATGTGCGTGCTACCCTGGTTGTTACCACAGCAGGAGCAACAGAGGGAAGGGTGGGGGAATGGTGCCTTGCCCTGGATTCTATAGAAAGTAGGCAGCGAAGTCAGGATTTGAACCTATGTGGGTCTGAATCTAGTACTTAAGTGTTATTTAAGGCCTTGGGCTCCTGCCAAGTTAAAATGAATGATAGTGAGGGTTTTTTTCCTTTGTTTTGGGGGGGACGATGCTCAGGTGTGATCCCTGTTGGTCTCAGGTGACCATAGACCCAGGGTCAACCACATGTAAAATAAGGTGCTGACTTCCTGTACCATCTCTCTTATCTTGGCTCTGCTTCCTCAAGCTCTCTTTTTCTTTTCATTTTTTTGTTTGTTTTTTTGGGCCACACCTGGCATGATTTAAGGGTGACTCCTGGCTCTGCTCTTAGGAATCACTCCGGTGGGCCTGGGAGGACTATGTGGAGGGCTGGAAATCAAACTTGGGTCAGCTGCATGCAAAGGCAAGTGCCCTACCTGCTGTACTATCTCTATTCTTTTTTTTTTTTTTTTTGGTTTTGTGGGCCCCTCCTGGTGATGATCAGGGGTTATTCTTGATTGATGGCTCTGCACTCAGAAATTATTCTTGGTATTGTTCAGAGGACCATATGGGATGCTGGGGCTTGAATCTGGGTCGGCTGCATGCAAGGTGAGCCCCTTAGCCTACTGGATATCTTTCCAGCCCCCCTGGCTCTCTTTTTCTTTTTCTTTTTCTTTTTTTCATTTTGGGTCACACCCGGTGATGCACAGGGGTTACTCCTGGCTCATGCACTCAGGAATTACTCCTGGCGGTGCTCAGGGGACCATAGAGGGTGCTGGGTCTTGATCCTGGGTTGGCTGCATGCAAGGTGAGTGTCTTAACCTGCTGTACTATCTCTCCAGCGCCCTGGCTCTCTATTTCTTAACTAATCTGCCACCAAGCCCCTGAGTGGTGCTCTGAAGCTACTGCCTGTGCTCCAGGGGTTCTCTTTCCCTTGACTCTGCAGGCACAGGCTGTGCCCATCCTGCTCCTGGGCCTGGCTCCAGACACCTTCGATGACGCCTACGTGGGCTGTCAGGAGGAGATGGAGGGGAAGGCAGCGGCCCTGCTCCAGGAAGAGATGGCCAGCCACGCCCTGCTGCGAGAGTCCTGGGAGGCAGCCCGGGAGGCCTGGGAGCACAGGCGTCAAGGGCTCACCCTGCCCCCTGGCTTCAGGGCCCAGCACGGAATCGCCATCATGGTCTACACCAACTCGTCCAACACCTTGTACCTAGAGCTGAACCAGGCCGTGCGCTCTGGTGGCGGCTCCCGGGACCTCTACCTGAGGCACTTTCCCTTCAAGGCCTTGCACTTCTACCTGACCCGGGCTCTGCAGCTGCTGCAGGGGAGTGGGGGCTGCCGTGGGGGGCCTGGGGAGGTGGTGTTCCGAGGTGTGGACACCCTGCACTTTGAGCCCAGGACACTCGGGGACACTGTCCGCCTGGGTCATTTTGCCTCCAGCTCCCTGGATGAGGCCATAGCCCGCAGGTTCGGTAATGCCACCCTCTTCTCTCTAAGGACTTGCTTTGGGGTCCCTATCCAGGCCTTGTCTGTGTTTCCCGGGGAGCGTGAGGTGCTGATTCCCCCGCACGAAGTTTTCCTAGTCACCAGTTTCTCCCAGGACGGGGGCAGGAGCCTTGTGACTCTCCGGAGCTATAATCAGACCTGCAGCCACTTCAACTGCGCCTACCTGGGGGGTGAGCTGTGCTTGGGTGCAGCCGGATGGCAGGGAGGAGGGTGTGTGTGTGTGTGTGTGTGTGTAGGAACCCACAATGGGACGTTGAGGGGTGGGAGTGAGCCATAAGTCTCCTTTTCTGCTCACTGGGCTCTGCAGCTCTTGAATGCTCTGAGTCTTCTGAGATCTGCCAATATTCTCGAAGGTTCTGAGATATCTGCTGCAGAGGCTAAGAGGCCCAGAGCTCTGGGTGGCTAAGCAGTCAGCCAAGGGACTGAGCGAAGGGACAGGGGCCCCCTCAGTTCTCAGGAGGGCTTGACAGGGCTGAGGCCATAGAAGGAGTGACCGAGGGGACAGATTTCCTGGGAAGCCAGAAGCATGCATGCAGGGGGAAGGGAAGGCAGGGTGTGAGGGCAACATGGGGTACCTGAGCCTGGCCACAGGGCCTCACTGTGGTGTCTGTTGCAGGGGAGAAGAGGCGGGACTGTGTATCTGCACCAAGTGAGTCACCCTCCTGCCCTGCATGGTGGCCGCATCGACGCCTCCTGCCCTGTTGGGCCCTCTCTCACCTCCTTTTCTTCTCTCGCTAGCAGAGGTCCAGCCAGGCCCCCCCTCCAAAGAAGCCTTGCCTCTGAACTTCCAGAAGACCTTGCCCACGCCTCCCAGGAGAGTCCAGTTCTCGGAAGCAGGGCCCTGAGAACGTCGTGTCCACCACGCAGGGCTCCTGAGGGAGTGGACAGTCTTGACCAGAGGAAAGGGCCCGGCAGACGGCCTGAAGGAGCAGGCACGTGGCTGTGGACCCAGATTATTGGGGGATTCTGAGACCTGTGCGGGTGCCCCAGCTCCACAGGACACGCGAAGGAAGGCACATCAGGGACGGCCACTCGATTAAAGAGCAATGCAACACGGTGACCCAGTCTCATGGTGGTTTATTCCAGGAGACAGGCTGCACTGCGGGTGGAGACTCTGAGGGAGGAGGGGCTTCTCCATGCCTCCCGGGTAGGCTTCCGGTCACACACCAGGGGTTCCTTCCACAGGGAAGGCAGGAGGGGCTGCAGGTGGGGGCGGAAAGCCAAGGAAAGGACAATAACCCCCTCTCAGCTGCCAGAGTTTATATTGAGTTCAGGCCCCTGCACCTCAAGACAAGCTTTTTTTTTTTTTTCTTTTTTGGGACACTCCCAGCAATGGTGAGGGGTTACTCCGGGCTCTGCACTCAGGAATTACTCCTGGCAGTGCTTGGGGGACCATATGGGGTGCCAGGGATTGAATCTGGGTTGGTCATGTGCCAGGCAAGCACCCTACCTGCTGTACCATTGCTCCAGCCCCAGGCCCAGCTCTTTTCACTGAAGGTTTCTGTTTGGCTGGTTGGTTGGTCTGTTTTTTTTTTTCTTTTTAGAAGATTATTTTATTTATTTTTATTTACTTATTTTTTCTTTTTGGATCACAGCTGATGATGCTGTGGGTTACTTATAGCTCTGCATTCAGGAATTACTCCTGGCTGTGCTCAGGTGACAATATGGAGTGTTGGGGATTGAACCCTGGTTGGCAATATGCAAGGTAAACAGCCCAACCTGCTGTGTTATCATTCCTGCCCCCTTATTTCTCTGGTTTTATTTGTTTTGTTTGGAACCATTATCTGGTAGTGCTCAGGACTTGCTCCTGCCTCTGTGCTCAACTCCTGATGGGGTTCAGAGGACCATATGGGGTGCTGGGGTTGAAACTTAGGTCTACTGCATACAAGGCAAACGCCTTACTCACTGTACTATTGCTCCAGCCCCTCCACTAAAGAGTTGAGGGTACCCAAAGTAGGATCCTTTTTCGTTTGTTCGGGTGTCACAACTGGTGGCACTCGGGGTTCACTCCTGGGCAGTGCTCAGGGGCCCATATGGGGAGCTGGAGATCGAATCCAGGTCGACTGTGTTCCAGGCAAGCACCTTACCCACTGTACTGTTGCTCTGGCCCCCTCAGAGCAGGACCCTAAGGCTAAGAGGCCTGGGACCCCAGAGGAAGCCACCTCTGTGCCTGACTCTGGGCCCCGGGTTCACTTCTTGGGTAGGAGCAAGCAAGAAAGCCAAAAACATTAAGAAGATGGAGACTCTTCCTCTCTGAGGACTTCTGTCAGTCAGGAGAGAAATTTTATTGCAGAGCCCTCTCCACACCGAGGCTGCTGACCTCAGTCACAGAACAAGGGGCCCTCCCTTGCCTCAGGGCTCCCCCGGGGGCCCTGCCTCTCCCTCAGGGCCCAGCTCTTGGGCCCCCTCAGGCTCCTGCTCCCAGTGTACAAGCACGTGAGCAGGAGAGGATGGGTTGAGCTCCTCAGGAGCGGGGTCTTCAGCCCCTCCAGCACTCTGAGATTCCTGGGCCCCCATCATCTCTGGCATCGCCAGCTCCGGGGTCTCAAGGATGGGGGGTCCCAGGTTCTGGAAGCTGTTACGCACTCGGGTGATGTAGCGGCTAAGCACGCTGGCACCTTCAGGAGGTCGAGGCGCCCCGCCTTCCGCCAGACTGCGCCGCACGCCAGCGACCTCCCCCTGCAGTCGGGACACTGTCTTGGTCAGCTCGGTCAGCCTGGTGCCCAGATCTGGGGAGTGGGGGTAGGGGGGGTCTTGTAAGGTGAGCCTGTCCTATTCCTCTTACACCCTCAGCAAGAGCCCCTCACCCCACTTTCCACCACTGCCCACCAGGGACATGGTGTCTGGGGGTCCTGAGGGGAGAGAAAAGGTTAAGTTAAGGGTACTCAGGCTTGGGGGCTGAGGGTAGAATAATGAGAGCTGAATGAGTCTGGCGAGGTGGTTGGTGAGTTTGGAAGGCTTCACAGGCCAGAGAAAGGATCAGGAGTCCTCGGGAGGCGGTGGGGGTTAGGGTTTTGTTTGTGTCTGTTTTTCAGGGCTGGGAAGGGATGGGACCGGTCTGATGGATGTGACATTTGTGCTCTGCAGAGCTGTCTTCCTGATGCGGGAATGTCTAAGGGGCGGAGACTTGTACACCCGCCTCTGCCACGCGTCTTCACTCTCTGCACCTGCCCAGCATCCTGTGCTTATTACCCAGTTCCAATTCCACCTGCCCTGTCTGGCACAGGGTCTGGGGTCTTTAGCCTTCTCCCTTGCCTCGAGCCTCTCAGGAAGACTGATGTCTATCCTCAGGGCCTCCCTCTGAGGCTCTTTCTGCCCAGGTTTCTCTTCCCAATCTGGACGCTTCTCGGGCGTGTCCCTACTCTACACAGTTCCCTTCCCTCCAAGACAAGGCTGGGAACACAGGGGGATTGATGAGTGAGGAAGCGAGTGAGCAAGTGCACGAATGAGGGACGTGATGAGTGAGTGGATGTGGCAGTGAAAGAGAGAAGGAATGAACATGGGGACGAAGGCAGCAACGGAGGATGAAGTGAGGTGAGGGGGATTTGTATCTGAACAGGCCACTGGGCAGCTGCATGGACAGGGGTCACACTGAGCAAGGCCGCCACCTCTACTTGCTGGCCAGATGTGGGGCATCTGGGTGTGGTGCAGTGATTGCTGCTGAGCAATTCAGGGGGGTCAGGGGAGGCTCAGCGGCTGACCACTGACCTTTCCGACGTGTCTCTTCGTACTCCCGCTGGGCGGTCTCGATGTAGCGTTGAACCAGGGCCTTGATGACACGAAGGCGATAGGACCCGCGCTCACGCTCTCCCTCCCCGGGCTCTGCGCCTGCCCCGCGGTTGGCCTGGGATGGAAACGGGGAGAGGAAGAAAGGGAGAGATTCTGGAAACCCCACACCAGCCTCTCTCCAATGACGGTCAACTCCCCACTCCCCAGACCCCCAGACCCTTGATGGTGGAAGCCAAGATGTTAGAATTGTAAAGCCACTGGTCTTGTCCCCAGTGCAGTCCTGGAAGGTTGAAGGATGGAGGTCAGAACTTACAGGAGAGCTGGGGAAGGGAGTGAGGGAAGGATTGGAAGGGCGAGGGGAGGCAGAAACGGGAAGCTGAGCAGGGATGGGAGTGATAGCCCTGCGGGTAGGGTTTGTGCCTTGTATGCAGCCAACCCAGGTTTGGTTCCTAGCACCCCCAGTTGGTTCCCTGAGCACCATCAAAAGTGATCCAGGAGTAGCCCCTGAGCACAATCAGCTGCTGCTCATGGGGCTGAGAGTACAGTACATTTGCCTTGCACCAGACAACCCCGATTCAATTGCCTACATCCCATGTGGTTCCATGTGAGCACCACCAGGAATGATTATTGAGTGCAGAACCAGGAGTGAACCCTGAGTACTGCAGGTGTAGCCCCCAAACCAAAAAGAAGGGGCTGGAATGATATTATAGCTGGGAGGGTGTTTGCCTTGCATGTGGCTGACCTGGCTTCAACCCCCAGCATCCCATATGGTCCCGTGAGCGATGCCAGGAATGATTCTTGACTGCAGAGCCAGGAGTAACCCCTGTATATCTCTGAGTATGACCCAAAAAGTCAAAAAAAAAAAAAAAAGAGAGAGAGAGAAAGGGAGAGAAAAAAAGAAGCTGAACAGGACAGAGTGGAGTTTTCTCTCCTGCCACCAAGTCCACCTTAGTTCCCTGGAGTTTAGTCATTCCAAGTTAGTTTTGCCCTCAAATTCTGTGGAAAGCAGGGCCAGGGGAGCTAGGGAGCAAGAAAGAAATAAGACATTGTGGAGGAAAAAGCCTGGGTCTCCGTTCAGGCTTCAGGACAGTGGCAGGACAGCAGGGTGCAGAGAATGTGGTAGGTCAAGTGCAGGACTTGGAGGAGATGAGTTCGATTCCCAACTCTCTTCCCACCCCACAACTCAGACGCTTGAGCCCGGGCCAGCTCGCAGCTGAGAGCCAGGACTCCCATCTCTGCCCCAGGCTGATAGCTGCCGGGCAGCCCAGGACTCTCTGGAGTTTACAACATGGCTATTTCCGGCCGGAGTGCCAGTACAGCAGGGAGGGCACTTGCCTTGCACACAGCCAACCCACATTTGATCCCTGGCACCTCATATGGTCCCCCTGAGCACCACCAGGGGTGATTCCTGAGTGTGTAGAGCCAGGAGTAAGTCCTGAGCACTTCCAGGTGTAGCCCCAAACAATAATAATAATAATAATGATAATAATAATAATAATAGCACCGTAGGCAGGACTGTCCTCCCATTGTTCATCAATTTGCTTGAGCAGGCACCAGTAACATCTCACAACAAATTGTGAGACCTGTTGTTACTGTTTTTGGCATATGGAATACATCACGGGGAGCTTGTCAGGCTCTGTAAGCGAGATACTCTCAGTAACTTGTCGGGCTCTCTGAGAGGGGCGGAGGAATCGAACCTGGTTTGGCTGCGTGCAAGGCAAACTCCCTACCCACTGTGCTATTGCTCCTTCTCAAACAACTGTACATTGTACTGCACTGTCCTCCCGTTCTTCATCGATTTGCTCGAGCGGGCACCAGTAACGTCTCCATTGTGAGACTTGTTGTTACTGTTTTTGGCATATTGAATACATCACGGGGAGCTTTCCAGGCTTTGCCGTGTGGGCAGGATACTCTCGGTAGCTTGCCGGGGTCTCCAAGAGGGGCGGAGGAATCGAACTTGGGTTGGCCACGTGCAAGGCAAATGCCCTACTCACTATGCTCTTGCTCCAGCCCAATAATAAGAATAATAATCTGTCAATGTTCTCCCGTTGTTCATCGATTTGCTCGAGCGGGCCCAGTAACATCTCCATTGTGACACTTGTTACTGTGTTTGGCATATCGAATACGTTATGGGGAGCTTGCCAGACTTTACCGTATGGGCTACATACTCTCAGTAGCTTGCCGGGAATTCTGAGATGGGTGGAGGAATCGAACCTGGGTCAGCCAGGTCGTTTGTGTGCAAGGAAAATGCCCTACCTGCTATGCTATTGCTCCAACCCCAATAATAATAATAATAATAATAATAATAATAATAATAACAACAAATTAGAAAAAACAGAGGACACAGGGATGGGCGTTTCAGAATGCCCAGCATCCTAAAGAGGAAGGAGAGCTATCTAAGAATAACAGGGGGAGCCAGTATTCTGGGGGGACAGCCACCTGGGTGGCTGGAATGGGACACCCCCTGGGGGCCCACATAAGGAAGATGACAAGGGCCCATGGACTCACGTAGCTGGGGATCGGGGGGTAGTTTGGCTCCCTGGTCTTGTAGCAGGAGCAGCAACAGCAAAGGAGCTGGAATATCCTCCTGGGAGGGGAGAGGGTGGGAAAGGGTCGGGCTGGGCCCAGGAGTGGGCTGGAGTACCGGGTGGCAAGGGTTCTGCGGGCCCTACCTGAGGAGGTAGAAGCAGGCCTTGGGCGAGGGCAGGATGTTGAAGGGCACCGGCAGGGTCAGGCCCTCACGGAAGTAGGACAGGTAGAGCTTGGAGCGCGCGAACTTCCACTCCACGTCTGCGTCATCCTGGGGGCCAGGAGGCAGGGAGCTTAGCAAGGACCCCTGGAGTCTCTCGTGGCCCCTCGTGCCCTGCCTCCACCCCCACAATGCTCCCATCTGTCTAGTGTGCCAACTGCCCCCTCCCTGTTCCCTCTCACACACATTTCCCGTCTCCGTCCTGTAGACACCCCCTGACCCAGCCCTCCCCACCCATCTCCCCCTCCCTCCTCGTGTTACACACAGCCTTCCGAGATGCTACCTGTTGGGGGAGGGGGGAGGATGACAAGGCCTAGAAAGGAAGAATCGGCCCCCATCAGCGGGGGAAGCGCAGCGGGAGTGCCGTGCCCCTCCCGCACTTGCCTCGATCTTCTGGAAGGAGTTGGTGATCATGGCGATGAGCATGTTGAGCAGCACAATGACCATGACGATGGTGAAGATGCCGTACAGGGCCCGGCCCACAAACTCTGGCACCAGAAACTGAGGCATGTCCACCACACTGTGCTCCTCCATGCCGAACATGGTCCAGAACAGAAACTGGAATGTCTCGTTGAAGCTGGGGGGCAGGCCAAGGGAAAACGGGGGTGGGGGGCCAGGGTGGGCAGCCAACCTGAGCAGCCAACACCCCCACTCCCCACAACCCAACTGTTGGAGTTGCGCTATTCTGGCGCCTCCAGACACTGGCCCTTGCTGAGCCCCGGTGTTCATTCCTTCAGACCACCCTGGTTCTCCAACAAGGGAGAGGCAGAGAGCACCTTCAGGGTTAAAGGAAACTAAAAGTTTTAGGCAGCAGAATACAATGCATGGGGCCAGAGCAATAGCATAGCAGGGAGGGCGTTTGCCTTGCATGCACCAACCTGGGTTCAATCCCCGGCATCTCATATGGTCCCCCGAGCACCGAGCACCGACAGGAGTAATTCCTGAATGCAGAGCCATGGGTGTGACCCAGAAAGATCCCCCCTCAAAAAAAGCCAAAAGAATACAATGCATGATCCCAGATTAGAATTGAGATTTTTCTTCTGTGTGTGGGTAAGGGTGAAGGGGCAGTGCTCTACTGCAGTGCTCAGGGCCCAGACATACCCAGCAAACACTCGGCCTGATGATGTGGGTTTGACTCCTCAATGCCCCATAACGTGAATGCTGTCCCAGGGATCAAACTCGAGTCCCTGTGCATGGAAAGCATGCACCCTGACTCCTGAGCTAGTTCCTTAGACCTCCATTGCACTATTTTTCTTTTTTCTTTCTTTTGTTCACACTCAGCAATGCTCAGGGCTTATTCCTAGCCCTGCAACTTAGGGGTCACACCTAGCTGGTTCAGGGAATCATATGGGGTGCTGGTAATTGAACCCAGGTCGGGCTTGGGCAAGGCAAGCCCGTACTATAGCTCTGGTTCCTCCACTGCACTTTTAACTGTTTCATGAGATTGACTCTTCTGGTTTTGGGTTTTGGGCCACACTTGCTAGTGGCTTATTCTGAGTCTGAGTGCCGAACCACTGCAGGGGCGCTCCAAGGACCATAGGAGGTGCTGGGGATCAAATTCATTGGCTACGTGCAAGGCAAACTCTACCCACTGTCCCATTGTTCCAGCTCCACAGATTAACGTTTTTTTAAAACCAAACTTTGAAGACAAAGAGAGTGAATAAATGAATGAAGGAGTGAGACCCAATGGAGGAGGGATTCCCCAAATCAGGGGATTAATGATTGATTGAATAGATGAGGAAGGTAGGGAGGAAAAAAAGACTCAAAGTTCCCATACGGGGCCCCAGACTCCTGCCCAGCCACCGGCATACTTGCCCAGACGCTCTGTCTCCTGGTAGGGTACATAGATGTTGTTGAGACCGCAAAGGAAGGCGGTCAGGATGATCATGAGGATGAACATGAACCTGGAGGGCAGGAAAGAGGGTTGTGAGGGGTGAGGGTACCCAGGGTTCAAGCTCTCTACTTGAAATCATTCCATTTGGTTATTATTAAAAATCATGAAATAGGGGCTGGAGCAATAGCCCAGCAGGTAGGGTGTTTGCCTTGCATGAGGCCGACCTGGGTTCAATTCTCAGCATCCCATATGGTCCCCTGAGCACTGCCAGGAGTAACTCCTGAGTGCATGAGCCTGTGTAATGCTGGGTGTGACCCAAAAAAGCAAATAAATTAATAAATAAATAAAATAAAAATTATGAAAATAAATTTAGTTCCCCCGAGCACTCCAGGAATAATTCCTGAGCACAGAGCCAGGGGTAACCTCTGAGTATTGCTGGGTGTGGCTCCCCCAAAATATATATAAACATTGCAAAACTGTAGCATAGCACAGCAGTTAGGGCGTTTGCCTTGCATGGGGCTGACCTGAGTTCATTTCCTCCTTCCCTCTGGGAGAGCCCAGCAAGCTACCGAGAGTATCCTGCCTGCACAGCAGAGCCTGGCAAGCTCCCTGTGGTGTATTCGATATGGCAAAAACAGTAACAACAAGTTTCACAATGAAGACGTTACTAGTGCCCTCTTGAGCAAATCGATGAACAACGGGAGGACAGTGCTACAGAGCTACATTTTTTTCCTATTATGCATTTATTTGGGCTGGAGCAATAGCACAGTGGGTAGGGCGTTTGCCTTGCATGCAGCCAACATGGCCAACCCAAGTTCGATTCCTCCGCCCCTTCCAGAGAGCCTGGCAAGTTACCGAGAGTATCTTGCCCATACGGCAAAGCCTGGCAAGCTACCCATGATGCACTCGATATACCAAACATAGTAACAAGTCTCACAATGTTACTGGGCATTATCAAGCAAAATCCATGAACAATGGGAGGACAGCAACAGTGACAGTGATGCATTTATTTGGATGGGGTGACCTATACTCAACTGCGCTCAGGATTTTTCCTGAGCATGCCGGTTTGCATGCAAGCCAAGCACCTTCCCTGTTGTACTATCTTTCTGGCTCCAAAGTTAATTTTTTAGGGCAAATTGTGGCACTTCCTCATTCTGGAGTTGCCCACATCTGAACTTGGCATGGGTAAGTTCTTTGCTTACTTTATAGGGTACCACTGGCACTGTCTGTCTCTGTCTCTCTCTCTGCCTCTTTGTCTACAGAGCTAAATCAAGAAATAAGGCCACAGAGATGGCTCAAAGACGACTTTGCATGCAGGAATACCAGATTCTATCCCCAGCACCACCTGGTTCCTGAGTACTGCCAGGAGTGATGCCTGAACACAGAGCTGGGGTAGCCCCCCAGTAATAAATAAAATAGAAATAATGAAATGAGAAGTTAGGAGGGATAGACAGGGGGTGCTGAAGCAGGAGGTTCTCCTCAAGAATCAGAGAAAGGGGGCACAGCAGGTAGGGTGCATGCCTTGGGTCAACCCACAGTTGGCCTGAGTTTGATCCCCGGCATCCTTGAGCACCACTAGGAGTGATTCCTGAGTGCAGAGTCAGGAGGAAGCCCTGAGCATCTATGCTCAGAGTATGGCCCCTCAAACCAAAAATATTCGAGAGAGGGACTTGGCCAAAGCCTCAGTACTGGATGGGCCTCTCCCAGGGGATGGAGATGCTGAGAAGAGACAGAGGGATGAGCAAGGGTCAGAGCAATTGGCAGCAGAGGGACCAGGGAGCTGGGAGATGAGAAGGGACTGGGGCTAGAATGGGAGGTTCCCTCCCAGATGGGAGACGGGGGCAACACAGACACCACCAGGGCTTCTTCCACCCCCACATGCTCCAGAGCAGCCTCTGGCAGCGGGTTCCTGGGGAACAGACACTCTGGGCAGCCAGGCTTGGCAGGAAACATTCAAGTAATAAAGCATCATGGAGACCGGATACTGCCAGGCTGAGTGTGCTCCCAGTAGGCCCTGGGAGCAGTGTTCTAGCCCAGAGGTGGAGACCCTGAGGCCCGGAAAAGGGCCCAGAGACAAAGACACAGCGGCACTGGAACCCACCACCCATGGCTGCTGGGCTGTCAGGGTTTGGTGAGCTCCGTGTGGCAGGCCTCTGAGAATTAGACAAACATTACAGACCTCTGCCAAGAAAGAATCTTCACACCCCCAACTGGGCAGAGCATTTTGGGGCTGTCTCTGGAGTGTCAGGGAATAATACTCTTGCGTGTGGTCAAGCACTGCCACTCGTGAGCATGGAGCCAGGATTATTCCCTGAGCACTGCCGGGTGAGGGGCTGGGTGAGAGTCTTAGAGAGGAGGTGGCTTGGGCCGGGGTGCACGCACCGAATCATGTCATCGATCATCTTGCCGATGGAGATCTGCAGCGTGCCCAGGGACTCATGGGCAGGCAGGATGTAGGCCAGGCGGGTGAAGCTGAGCATGCTGGTGATGGCGAAGAGCACTTCTGCCAAGAACTGGGGGTCCTCTGCGCGCCACTCACTTCGCTCTGGGCAGGGTGGAGGGCGGGGGTGAGGCTGAGGGCTGAGGAAGAGGAAGGCTGCAGGGGATTCCAGGGGACATACACTCACCAGCTGTGGTGAAATAGCGGCAGGGGGCGCCCTCGGGGGCATCCTGGCAGTGCCTGTAGGCGAGCCCGGCCAGCAGGAGGCGGAGCACGAAGGATGCCAGGTACAGGGACAGGATGACCACGTCCAGGAAGTTCCACCAATCCAGGAGGTAACTGCGCAGGCCCTCGATCCACACCTCCTTACATTCAAACCACAGGAAGCCTGAAAGGGAGGTGTGTAGGGAGGGGCTAGGGTGAACCCTGTCTCTTGCCAGGTTACCTCTGGATTAAGGGGGGATTCTGTCTGGGCTGGCGGGCCACTAAAGCAGCACCAGGACAAAGGATAAAGGCGATGCAACAGAAATGTTCAACTTGCTTAGACAGTGATTTCCTTCTTTCCACCCTTCTTTCCTTCCTTCCTTCCTTCCTTCCTTCCTTCCTTCCTTCCTTCCCTTCTTTCTTTCTTTCTTTTTTACTTTCTTTTTTTGGTGGGGGGGTCACACCCGGAGATGCACAGGGGTTGCTCCTGGCTATGCACTCAGGAATTACCCCTGGCGGTGCTCAGGGGATCATATGGGATGCTGGGAATCGAACTCGGGTCAGCTGCAGGCAAGGCAAATGCCCTACCCGCTGTGCTATTGCTCCAGCCTCTCTCTCTCTCTCTCTCTCTCTCTCTCTCTCTCTCTCTTTCTCCTTCCTTCCTTTCTCTCTTCCTTTCTTTTCTTTCTTTCTCTCTTTCTCTCTCTGTCTCTTTCTTTCTCAGCCACACCAATCAGGGTTTACTCCTGGCTCTGCACTCAGGGCTCACTCCTGGCAAGCTCAGGGGACCTTTTGGTGTGTTGGGGATTGAACCCAGGTCACCTGTGTGTAAGGTAAATGCCTTATTCACTGTTCTACTGCTCTGGCCCCAAAGAATGTTTCTTAAAATTTTCACTCGGGGCTCCAGGGACTAGCTCAGTGGCTTACAGCATCGGCTCTGCATGCAGAAGGCTCTGAGTTCAATCCCTGGTGCCACCAACTGCCTGACAGTGGCCCTGATGGCTCTGTTGTCGGTGATCCCCACTGGGGCCATATCGTGCGGGGACCTGCCACCCAGAAAAGGCTGCACACAAATACCTGTGACCCAGACCATGTGGAGTGAAGTCTCCCAGACGCTCTGGCTGCGGCCGCGGAAGGTGCTCAGCTGCATCTCCATGGCCAGGGACTCCCCCAGCAGAAAGAGGAGGAACCACAGGTAGGAGGCGGAATGCAGCAGGAATTTCAGTACCGGGATCTTTAGCAGGCGGCCCAGCTTTGGGGAAAGAGGGGGTGAGATCAGCTCCAAGACAGCTGCTCGCGTTTCTCCCCATTGGGATAAACTTCCAGAATGTTCAGTCCATGCTTCACCTTCCCTTCTACTCACGCACTCAGGCATTTACTGGGAATGGGCGATAATTAAGCTCAGTCTTTTCTTATCCCTTTCCTGGCGGGCTAAGGGGACCATATGGAGTGTTGGGGATTGAAGCCAGGTCAGCCAATGCAAGACAAACACCCACCCTATTTATTATTTTTATGACTATTTCTTACTCTCTATTTATTACTTTTGTGGTGCTTTCCCACTGAGGTGCATCTCCAGCTCAATTTGCATCTCAGCATTAATTTTATTTTACTTATTTTATTTTGCTTTTTGGGTCACACCCAGCGATGCTCAGGGATTACTCCTGGCTCTGCACTCAGGAATTACTCCTGGCGATGCTCAGGGGATGCTGGGAATCGAACTGGGGCTGGCCGTGTACAAGGCAAACGCCCTACCCACTGTACTATTGCTTCAGCCCCTTTATTTTACTTATTTTTTACTTTTGTTTTGGGGCAAAGGATTTACTCCTGGCCGTGTGCTCATGAATCACTCCTGGCAGGGACCAGAGGAGCCTGTGGTACTGAGGACCGTACCCTGATTGGCTACAGGCAAGGCAAGTGTCCTTCCCACTGTACCACATGGCCCTCAGCCTTAATTTTAGTGTCCGTACCCGGGATTTGGGTGCCAGCCAGTAGCCCAGGCAGAGGAAGGGCATGGTGAGGAAGATGAGGAAGGCAATGAAGAGCTTCCAGATGGTGGTGCTTCCACGCCAGCCAGCCAGGTTCCCACACCAGATGGAGGACAGGACTTGCTGGCAGATGGGATGTGCTACAAACTAAGCAGAAAAGGGGGTGAGCGGAAGGGGGGTCTGCAGGTGGGGAGGAAGGAGGAGCCTGTTGGTTCTCACTCACCCCACAGAGAGTGAAGCGGGTTTTGGGTTCCCCAGAAGGCCAGGGGAGCAGAGGTGCGTGTGTACGACCCGGTGCAAAGTCCATCTCTCTTTGCCCCCCTGGTTCCCTGGTATATGAAGGATGTGCCTGAGTGAAAGATTTTTTCTGGGCCTCTCTGGATCCCACAACCCAGGCAGTACTAGGAGGAAGTTGGTACCCAAATCAGAGTGCTCAGAATTTCTGTCTTTTCTTTCTTTTTTTTTTTTTTTGCTTTTTGGGTCACACCTGGCGATGCACAGGGGTTACTACTGGCTCTGCACTCAGGAGTTACTCCTGGCGGTGCTCAGGGGACCATATGGGATGCTGGGAATCGAACCCTGGTCGGCCGCGTGCAAGGCAAACTCCCTACTCGCTGTGCTATCTCTCCAGCCCCCAGAATTTCTGTCTTATTAAAGACCTGGATGCCTGCCTGGGCGGTCTTGAAGCGGGGAGCAGGGAGGCAGACCTTCATGTTGCGGGAAAGAGCTTGAGGAGTCATTAGTAAGGAAGGTTTGGGATTAAGCTCCTGTGGGATCAGGATATTTGACAGTGACCATGAGGAGAGCCAGAAAGAGAATTTGTCTTTAGCTTAGTGGGGACGCCTCCAGGAGATGCCTTGATTGCCATTTCCGCCCTGAGCACTTTCAGTGAAGCCTCATGAAGAGCATGAGATATCAATGTTCCAACATCAGATGAGCCCAAAGTTACTCAGGAGACCAGCAACAGCTGCCTGGAAGGCCTGGATGTCAGGGTTACGGGTAGGGTTTGGGGGGGAATGGGGCTTCCAAGTTTAGACAGAGGTTGGAGCTTAACTCATGTTCAGAAAGGACCGTGGGTGCCAGAGAGACAGTACAGGAGCATGGCGTTTGCCTTATGCAGGAGGGCTGACCCTGGTTGATCTCTGGACCACATCAGTCCCCAGGTCATGCCAGGGGTCATGTCTCCTGATCATGAGGTCAGGAATAGACTCTGAGCATTACTGGTTGTGGTGATAACCCTCCTCCCCAAAACAAGCGGAGTGGGAGACACAGACTCAGATGGGGGGAGTGAAGGACCCCACTGACCCGCTTCTGGTTGTAGTTGACAGCCAGCCGCAGTCTCGCCAGGTTTGGGATGCCTTCCTCGAAGGCCTGGCCCAGGACCTCGGCTTCGGTCTCGCTGTCCTCGCCCAGGTCATTAAGCACCGCGGTGACCTCGCTCTGGTTCCGGCACATGCCCAGCAGTTCGAAGCTGTAGTCCTGGCTCAGTGACTCTAAGGCGATGTACTCAGGCTGCAGGGACAGACCCATGTGTGTGGGTTCTGCAGGGGCATCAGTCTCACTATGAGTCCCCCACAGTCCACCCTTGGGCCACCCGGGCCCCACAACTGATTGTCTCTCCCTTCTTGCCACCCTGTCTCCCCGTGTGCCAGTGTGGCTGATGGGTCCTTCCAACTGATGTTTCTCTTTCCTAATCCATTTCCTGTCCTGCTTCTACCCCAACTCTTTTCTTTTTCTTTTCTCATTTTTTGTTTTTGGGACACACTTGGCAATGCCCAGGGGTTACTCCTGGCTCTACACTCAGGAATCACTTGGAGGTGCTTGGAGGACCATATGGGATATTGGAGATGGAATTGAATCCCAGTCCAGTGAGGGGGGGAGGTGGGATGAGCCACGTCCTGCTCAGGGCTCCCCTGCAAGTGTTCGTCTGTTCCCTCACCAGTGGTGGCCCAGAGCACCCTGCCTGCCTGGTCCAGAGCAAGGTGGGGCAGAACTCCGGTTTCCCGAGTAGTTCCTGCTGCCAGGCCCTGGGCTACCCCTGCACAGTCCTGGTCCTGCACCCACCTCTCAAACGCTCACCCTGCTCCTCTTGCCCTAGATGAACTCACTCACCACCAGCTTCTCCCCGCGTCTACCCTGACCCCCCAGTAGTAGGTGACAACAGTTCTGGGTACCAGAGGCCACAGGCTGGGCCCTGATGAAGCTGAGCCGAGGGCCCTGCCCCCCATCCCTGCCCTCACTGTTCCAGTTGGGGCCACAGGATGGTGCTCAGAAGGGAGGCATCTGGGGAATGGGGCCTTGGACCCAGCCCTCTCTGCCTGGGGCTCTCTTTCCTCAGACCCAGGGAAGACGCCCCTAGAGCCGGCTGGTGCCATGCCCCATCAGTCCAGAAACCTCCCCGATGGGGAGGTAGGGGAGGAACCTGGGGTACCCATCCCATTGGAAATTGAGGCCCCATCATTCCGCTCTGGTTTCCCACTTCCTGTGCATTGCCAGAACCCAGGTGGGGACGGGGTGCTATCAGGGAGTGGGGGCGCAGCGCGACACCCACCTTAAACTCGGGCTCCTTGCGCGCCAGGCGCCGCAGCTCGCGGCTGAGCTGGAAGGCGGCCAGCAGGGCGTCGTCGCTGGCCAGCGAGAGGTGGGCGCGGCTGGCGATGCCTCGGTACGTGTTGATGCGTGACAGGGAGAACTTGAGCAGGTCGTAGCGGCGGGCGTTGCTGCACTCGAGGCAGGCGCAGGAGACGGGGTGCGGCCGCGCGATGCTGTGCCCGTGCGCCATGAGCAGCTGCGCCACCTCGTACAGGTCCTTCTGGCAGGCCAATGTGAGTGGCGTGACCCCCGGCGCGAAGCGGGAGCCGTCGATGGACGAGTCGAAGAAGGCGAGGGAGAAGGACCGCGTGTCCACTTTGCGGCCTTTCTCCCGCTCCAGCCGCACCAGCAGACGGCGCATAGCGGCCGACTGGTTCGTGTCCACGGCCACCAGCAGGGCCTCGTGGACCTGCCTGAAGTCGAACTTGACATTGGCCAGCAGGATGTCGGTGATGGCCTCGTGGCCCAGGCGGATGGCCAGGTTAAGAGCTTCCCGCCAGGACCGGTCCTCGGCCTCCTCCACGTGCCGGGGAGGACCGCTGGCCCCTCCGCTGGAGGTCTCGAGCCCCGACTCCAGCAGCTGCTGCACCAGGCCCAGCCGCCCCTCCTGGATGGCCCCCAGCAGTGGGGGCGGGAACTTCAGCTTTTTGTTCACGATCTCTGTCCAGTTGGGCTGGGGTGGGAGGAAGAAGCCGAAAGGGTGGGACCTCCAAGACTCCAACCCTGGCCACCTATATCCTTCCACCCTCCATGACATGCTCAGGACAACCTGGCTCAGTGCAGACATCACTCCTGGTGGGGGTTGAGGAACCATCTGGGGTGCTGGTCAGCCTCATGCTGACCCAGTTCCCCACTGTGATATTCTTCCATGGGCCAGACAAACACAAAAAGGCTCACATCAACCATTTTATTATATACATTCTTGGGGTAGCACTACCAGGAGTGGATCTCAGCCACTCGCCCCATGGTGGAGTCATATGTGGGCACGGTGAAGCTGGCTCCTGCTGGTCCAGGACTGCCCTGCACCCACTCTGTTGACTGTCTCCTGGCTGTGTCTCCCCAGAGCCCACAGGGACAGGACTGGACTTGCCCACACAGGAGGGTCTGAGTGCGGAGCCTTTCCAGGCCCCTCAGCTCTGAGCAGGCTGGAGGGGGCCCCAGACTCCTTCACCAGTGTGCCCTCCTGCTTGGGGGGGGGGCACTTCCCCCTCTGGCTCACCCCTCTCCTGACAGGCCCAGCGCCAGCTCCACCAGCTTCTCCTCTAGGCCTCGGGCACCCGCAGGTGCTGTCCCCCACGGGCGAGGCAGCCAGGATATCCCTGCCACTACCTTGGGGTCATCTAATTGGAACCAATCTGTTGTCCTGATGCTGGCCAGATATGGGCCAGGATGGGAAAAGGTGGCGGGGGGGTAGCGTCTCTTACCGCGAGGGGGTCCATGGTGAGCTAGTCTCTCGGCAGGACGAAGGGCTGAGCTCCTGTGTGGCACCCGTGTCTAAGTTCCTCTCCTGCCTGGTCAAACCCCGCCCCGCCGCGGGCCCTCCCCGGGCCAGGACCAGCTGCTCCCCTCTTCCCTGCACCCTGGAGACCGGGGAACCTGGTGTTCGTGCCATGTGAGGAAATCTCCTGGGAGGGGGAGAGGACAGAGTGGCCCAGAGGTGCGACCTGGGGGTGGGGTGAAGAGACCTTGGGCAGGGTTTGGGCAGATGGCGAAGGGGCTGGCCCAGGGCTGCTCCTCAGTCAATCCCCCATTTGTTCCGTCCCCTTGCGGGGAAGGAGGGGGGCGGCTGGACTCTTATCACTGAGGGCTCACTTTGGGCTCCGCAATGTGCTTCACCCATCAGCACTGTTACCTGCTTCTCCCTGGGAAGGAAATCCACTAGGACACTGACAGTTCTGGTGGTGAAGGTGAGTCTCAGGGCAAAGCCCCCTTCGCCTGCCAGGAACCCTCATGGCACAGCCTGTGTGTCGGCATGGGCTCTCCTTCTCCCTGAGTCTCTTCAGGAAAGTGGGCCCAGAGGACATGCCCGCATCCTGATGGGGAGGGTGGAAGACATTCTGAACCATGCCCCAAAGCCCTGCAGGGCGCCCCAGCCGGTCCGTAGGGAAAAAGGCCAGCGCTGCCTGGGGGAGGACAGGGTGCCGTGGTGACAGAAACCTTGACAACTGGGAAGCGGGCAGAGTCCTGAGGGAGGCAGAGCAGGGCAGGCGCCGGGCAGGCTGGCTCTGCCCAGAGAACCCCTGCCCCCATCTCAGTACCACGGGGCAGGGGCCTCCCGCATGGCTCACGCCTCCCCACACAGGCTGGCATGTGCCTCGATCTCTCCCGTGGAGAACAGCATCTGGCAGATAGGGCACTGGGTCCAGGAGAGGGGTGAGCTCTCCGGGGAGCACTCCCACACGATGGACGGTGGTGAGGAGGGAGAGGCGGGCCGTGGCGGCGGTGAAGTCTCTCCACAGGTGGCTGCATGCTGGGGGAGAACCGCCATGCTGAAGAACCCTAGTGGGAGAGGAGGGAGCAAAAACCATTTTGTGTGTGTGTGTATACTTTTTTGGGGTCACATCCAAAAAGATTTACCCTGCTTGAACATTATACTGAGACACCTGGTGATGCTCAGGGCCTTATTCCTGGCTCTGTATTCAGGAGTGTTCTCCGGCTATGCTTGGGGGAAGGGGGGGCGCATATGTAGTGTCAAGGACTGGAACCTCCTTGGCTGCATGCAAGGGGGGTGCCTTCCCTGCTGTGCTTCCTCTCTACTTTGAGGGAACAAAACTGGGCTAGCTCCCAGGCAGGAGGTCCCCGCTACTGCTGGAAGCACACATGTGATGGGGTTAAATCCCTTGCATGGCCAGGAGTGACCCCGGAGTCCAGAGCCAGCAGGAACCCCTGCACGCTGCCAGGTGTGACCTCAAAATAAAAAGGGATGCAGTCACTTGGGCAGATTCACCCTGCTTGAACATTATACTGAGACTCTCCAGGCCAGAACCCACAGAACCTGAGTCAGGGCTCAGACACTGCCTGACCCCGTGTGGCAAGCGTGGGGTAAAGATGAGGGATGATCATAAGAGCCACGAGTCACAGCAGGAGGCGAGAAGGGCTCAGGTGGGAGCTGACCGAGGAGCTCAGAGGAGAAGGGCAGAAAGGCGCCAGTTGGATGCTGGTCAAGTCAGCAGCAGAAGGCACTGCTAGCCCATTCCTGTTTTACACGTCTGTTTCTTTTGCTGTTTTTATTTATTTATTTATTATTTATTTATTTTGCTTTTTGGGTCACACCCAGCGATGCTCAGGGGTTACTCCTGGTTCTGCCCTCAGGAATTACTCCTGGCGGTGCTCAGGGGATCATATGGGATGCTGGGAATTGAACCCGGGTTGGCCACGTGCAAGGCAAACGAAACGCCCTACCCGCTGTGCTATCACTCCACCCCCTCTTTTGCTGTTTTTAACAGTTTTATTTAGAGAAATAAGGAGTGAAGAAAGAATTGGGGGGGGGGGAGTTCAAGGTCTTATTCTTGGCTCAGGAATCATTCCTGGTGATGCTTAGGGAACCATATGGGGTGTGGAGTACTATGATCAAACATGGGTGAGGTGAGCTGCACGCGGGGCCAGAGGGAGATTACCTACTGGCTGTACTCTCCCTCTGGCCCCTGTTTCTTTTGTTACTGTTTTTGGGCCACACCCAGCTGTGCTCAGGGCTGCTCAGGGCTGCTTTTGGCTCTGCACTCAGGGATAAGGGACTATAAGCGGTAGTGGGAATTAATTGAGACTGGCTTGGTCACATGGAAGGCATGTGCCTTATCTTACAGACTATCTCTCAGGTTCCAAGAGACTGTTTCTTATTTCACCTGCGAGCAGGGACCCTGTTCCTTCCTGAGCTTGGCCAATGGCAAGATAGACTTGTCCTGATTTTACAGGTAGTTTCATCTTGGGAGCCACAGAGATGACAAAGGCTAGAACCCCATTCACCACATTTCCTGACACCATCTCCAAATGTCCCAGACCCGCCTCAAGGGATGCCCTCACCACCATCCCCCAGTCATACAACACCTCCGGGGCACAGGAGCGTACCTGCACAAATGGGGCACTGTCCCCCGTCCTGGATAGCGCTGACTTGAGCCTGGGGTCGGGGACGTTCTCTCTGATCTGTCTTTACTGACCTCCTCTTGCTTGGGTTAGAATCGGAGAAAAGTCTGTAAGAAAGAAATGAAGCCTGGCATTAGCAAGACACCTCTTGAATTAGGATGGAAAGAATGAGACTGGAATACGGAGCCAGTGTGACTCCACAGTCAAGCACCTGCTCAGAATCAACAGACCCAATTCTGCAAAAACAAACAGACAACTAGCAAGAATGGAATGCAGAATCAAAATGCTGTGGGGCTTGGGGCCAGAGAGAGAGCACAGTGGGTAAGGGCGCTTGCCTTGCATGCGGCCAACCTGGGTTCAATTCCTGGCGCCCCATAGGATCCCGCCAGGAGTGATCCTTGAGCACAGAGCCAGGAGGAGTAAGCCCTGAGCACTGCTGGGTGTGGCTTTCCCAAAACAATAGTAATAATCGCCGCAGCAGCAAATGCTGGAGAGCCAGAAGCCCAGGGTTGGAGTCCTGAATTTCCCATGTGACCCATCAGACATGAGAGAAGTCTCTGACCTGTTTATTATTGGATCACCCCTGGTGGTGTATCAGGGTTGGGACCAGAGTTGGTCACATGCCAGGGCAGCACCCTAATCCCTAGACTCTCCAGCCCAGAAGTCATTTAACTTTTGAACAGAGAACAGAGCTTGGCTGCTACATTCAGTTTTTTCTCCTGATGAGACAAAATGAGCACCCTATACAATTCAGTCTTTTGAACCACGTCCGTGTTCCCACAATACTGTTTTCCCACTATTCTCTAGTTCCATGCCACAAGGTCAAGACCCAAACACAGGGACCCCTGACTTAATGGAAATAAGCGGGGCAAAGAGGTCAGCTGGAGAAGGACAGCAGGTCTGGGAGGTGAGTGGGGCCCTCCAAGCTGGCTACTCACCCGCTGGCTTGCTTCTCCGGTGTCTTCTGTCTCTTTGCCCTCCTGCGCATGCCGCTCTCTGGGTTTTGGTTCTCAGGTCTGGGCTCTGTGTTAGAAACGTTCATTAAATAGCTCCTTAATTAACAAAAGAACCTTCACACAGGATGTTCCTTCTTTTACAAAGACTCTTTCTAGTCTTCAACAAATTCAAGTCAGCTGAAATGCTAACTCCTGTGAGGCACTTTCCCTAAATTCTTTCATCCAAATCTTGTCATTTCATTCGGCTTTGCTTTCCAAAGCACCGATCATCACAGTTTTAACTTGTTTTGTTTTTGGGGCCCATCTGGCAGTGCTCAGGACTTACCCCCGGCTCTGTGCTCAGGGATCACTCCTGGATGTGCTCAGGGAATCATTTGTGGTTCTGGGGATTGAACTGGGGCTGGCCACGTTCCATGCAAGTGTCTTACCCCTGTATGGTCTTTCTGGCCCCAAATGGTTTTAAGTTTCCTTTTTTGGGGATACATCCTCAGATGTTACGGGGCCATTTCTGGAGGTGCTACAGTCCCAGGAATCAAACTCAGGCTCCTGACATGCAAAGCATGTTTTCCAGCCTATAAAGCTCTCTCTCCGGTCATAAATTTCATATTTCTTTGTGTGACAAAGATAGATGTCTCCCCATTAGTGTAGGAACACTGTTCTTTTATTTATTGTGGTATTTCTGACACAGAACCTTACATGAGACTGTAAGGTTAAATAAATGATAACAACACAACCGTTTGTTGATTTATTCAGAACTTAATGAAACATTTTGTCCAGCACTTAAATATTTCAAAATGCCTTCAAGCTCCAGTGATCAGCTAATAGATGATCAAAAAGAGATTAGTTCCCTAAGCTGGAGGGATAGTACAGGGTTTCATTCATATGGTCCAGAGTTTGAGAGTACTCTGGTTTCACTCATATCGTCCAGAGAATTGTTGGGTACAGGCCTCGAGGTCTCTAAGTACAGCGTGGGAAATCTGAGGCACCATGGACAGAGCACTGAACTACTGGCCCACCTGCTGGAGAATTGCAGGAGGGATCCTGGGCGTTCTGATGATGGCTTGGGAAGTCCCACTCCTTACATAACCCTTCCCGCCCCCCCCCCCCCCCCCCTTATACACACACACACACACAGCAAAATAAAGCCTAGGTCTGAGAAGGCATCAAAGGTGCTAGAGTGCATGGTCTGTATGCAGGAGCCCCAGGTTCTATCCCCTGAAGACCCCAGAATGTTTCTCAAACCTTTCTCTATGATTAAATTCCACTATCTCCCTATTTTACGTCTTCACTAGGTGCCAATACACCATCACCCTGACTTAACTGGTCTTCTGAGTTGATCGTAGAAACATGAAGACATTAAGAGGCCCCTGATACTGTGATTTATAAGAAAAGTACATTTTGTCAAACAAGCAAAATGCATCCCATATATATTTGATTAATCTAGCTCACTGTTCCTCAAATCCTAAGAATCTTTTTAACGCTGAAAGTCACACAGGTATCTTTTGTAACGTGAATGAGGTGGCTTTTGGACGCCAACTACTAACATTGAGATTATGGGTTTAGAACTCGGAACCCCCCACCTCTGGGGAGGGAGAGGAAGAAAGCCACCCGAGGTGAGCGGTCCCAAGGCCTCACCTGCACCCTCTGTCTGACTGGAGCCTGGTTCTCCATGGTTGTTTGTTGGACTTGGCGCACTGGCTGGAGGTGCTTTGCGAGCAGCCGACAGCACCATGTGGGCCGACCGGCCCAATGTTCCTGGCTGCAGCTGCTTTAGCATATTCTTAAGCTTGGAGATTTCCTCCGTGTTCCTGCAGGGAAAATACAGCGACTCTGATTCCACTCAGAACAAAGCCTCCACCTTTCACCCAAGTCAGTGGCATCTAACCAAGAAAGCCACTGTGGCACCCGACAGGGTTAGGGTTCACTGGGGGAACCTGGCTGGGTCTGTGTGCCTGTGAGTGACTTGGCAACTGAGAGCCAAAGAACAATGGAAGGGTCAGGAGACCGGCATGCTCGCAGCTACATACTTTGGGGGATCTGGGAAGAATGTTCTTCGGATGGATGGATTGGCCATCCAGGGGCCTGGATCAGACTCTTGAGTTTCAGAAGAGACCTGAGGAAAGGAAAAGTAGCAAGATGAAATAAGGCCGTTCACTGCAGGGGGACACCGCCCCCTAGTGTTGGGCAAGCTCCCACAAGCAGAATCTGGCTCAGCCAGTGTCTTAGTCCAGTATGCACAACTGTACCCTCTGCTGGTATGTGACACTGTTCTAGTGCTAAGGTGTGAATTTCTGTGATTTTACTTCCACAATGCCAAGCCATTGGTGATGATTCTCAAAGACCCTGAGGTAAAAGAATATAACCTACTGGGGGAAAAAAAAACTACTGAAGTGATACAATATGCAAAGTTTTCAAATTGCACATACACACATATAGGTGACTATCTACATACATACACATATATACTCATATACAAACTTGATTCATGTGTATATCGACTCAATGATATCTCTTTAGACACTTATGTGAGAAAAATTATACATTTCTTTTTGGTTTCTTTTTTTATGGTTTTATTATGTGTTTTGGGCTGCATCTGGCTATGTTGAAGGCTTACTACTGATAGCACAGTGATTATTCCTGGAGGTGTTCAGGGGACCATATGGGTTCCAGGGATCTAGCCTGGGTCAACCATGTGCAAGACAAGTGCCCTATTCACTATACTTTCTCACTCTCTCTTTGGGGAAGAAACACACCTGGCAGTGCTCAAGGGATTGAATATATGGTGATGGGGATTGAACCCAGGTTGGCTGTTCCCTGCCTGCTGTACTATTGCTCTGGCTCCTCATGGGTCCTTTTAAAGAAAATCATAATCAACATGATTTGGGGCTTCATTTTGAAGGTTTCAAAGCCATGAAAATTTCATTTTTATTCCCTGGGTATTCATGAAATGACAATCTCTTCCTGAGCCATACATTTGGAAGTACTTTGTTTAATTTTCTAGGGTTCTAATTAAACTTGAGACTGAATACTACTAGAAAGGTAAGCAGAAGGGTATGCAAAGATGGTTTAAGCTTAGTTCTAAAAGTGAACAGTCACTAGGAACTGAGTTCTGGGGCAGAAGCTGATCAGAGTCAGGCAGCCTGAGTTCAAATCCACTGGTGTATTTAACAGTGACCACTAAATCTCTCTGCACTTGTTTCCTCACTGGCAAATTGGTGATGATAAATGACTTTATTTCACAAGGCTAAATGCACACAGGTTGTTTCCATTATCATATACCATCCGAAGGGAAAAAAATATGCCTATTTCAAGCTGGTTTTTTTTTTTGTTTTGTTTTTGGGGACACACCTGGCAGTGCTTAGGGCTTACTCGTGGCTCTGTGCTCATGGATCACTTCTGGCAGGGCTTGGGGATCCTACGCGGTACTGAGAATCAAACCCAGGTCAGCCACCTGCAAGGCAAGCGCCCTATGTGCTGTACTATGGCCCTGACCCTTAGGCATCTTTTTGTTTGTTTTGCTTTTGGGTTACACCCAGGCAGTGCTCAGGGTTTACTCCTGGCTCTGCACTCAGAAATTACTCCTGGTGATGCTCGGAGGACCATATGGGATGGCGAGGATTGAACCCAGGTGTGTTGCATACTGTTATTCCAGGTGTGCTGCATGTACTGTTACTTCGGGTATACTGCATACTGTTACTCTAGCCCATGATAAAACTGTGTGCCAGACATTTGTTTTCCGAGATAACCATCTTCTGTAAAATTTTCCAGTGTCTCTGTGCCCTGGGGCTCCAGTGGTGCTCCTGAACAGATACTCCACCCTATCATGATACTCCACTCTATCATGACTCCTACCTCCACCGCCCCCCCCCCCCCAGGTTTGAGATGTTCAGAGCCTTATTGAGGGTCCACATTTTGACATAGAGAGGAATACCACAGGGCCTGCTTTGCCCGGGGCAGTTCTGCTTTATGGCTGTGGTCACGGCATAATTATTAATAGCGCTCGGTCTGACTCTTCAAGTCCTGATCTGAACGGTACATTTTGTGATGACCCTATCTCCAAAGCCCCACTGGAAAATCACTAATACAATGAACAATTGTGTAAAAGCTGACTTTGTTCTGGGTACTGGCCAGGCTGCCAGGAATTCATTATGGAACAAGACAGACAGGTCTCTAAGCCCGCACAGCCTGGGTCACTGAGCAGCTGGAGGTCGCAGCCCATCAGCCTCCAGAGCGGCGTCGGCGCAGAGCCTGAGCACAGGGACCTGTTTCTGCTGGTCCTCTGGCTTTTCTTTTTTTAGCTCCTTCCACACTGAAAGAATCAACCTCACACCAGGCTTTACAGCTCTCTCCCAGGGCGACACTACAAAAGCACTGACAATTTTCTCAGTTCCAACTCCCTTTTCTCTTCCCAGTCAATACCCAGAGTCTTTATTTTCTTTCTTTCTTTTTTTTTTAAGTGAAGGAAAATAGTGAAATTTACTTAGAGAAATGTGAGGGGAGAGAAAAGCAAGTGATATGTGCTCAGGAGAGAACACAGATTTCTCTCCAGTCCTCATTTTCTTAGTAACTTCAAACAAGAATGACAGTTGTGGGATTCACTTCTGGGAGCCGAAATTTTCTTTGTCCGTTTTCTTGAGCTGGGAGGGATTAGACCCAGGACTTCAGACACACGACGCACACTGTACCTATCTCCCAGGCCGCTGCAAACTGAACTTCTTTGGTTTATGGGACGTTTGAAGTTTCCAAGGACGAACTGTGCTTAGGTAGCAAATTGGTGCAATGAGAGGAAACCTGATTTCGAACCCTTCTGTATTCTTACTGTGTCACTCTAAATATGTACATTTCCTAATCTGAGATGGGAAGAAAAGGGCGGGCTAAATGAATGCCTCTTTTTTTTTTCCCCTCCCATTTTTTTTTGGGGGGCTTGTTTTTGGGCCACATCCAGAGGTTCTCAGGGTTTATTTACTCCTGGCTCTGTGCTTAGGGCTTACTCCTGGAGAGGCTCAGGGGACCACTTGGGGGTGTGGGGATTAAATCCAGGCTGTTTTTTTTTTCTTTTTGGGTCACACCCGGCGATGCTCAGGGGTTACTCCTGGCTTTGTACTCAGGAATCACTCCTAGTGGTGCTCGGGGGACCATATGGGATGCTGGGAATTGAACCCGGGTCGGCCATGTGCAAGGCAAACGCCCTATCTGCTGTGCTATTGCTCCAGCCCCCAGGCTGGTTTTTTTTAAGGGCCTGATTTAAATTTAGTCACCGTAAAATTACAGTTACTCATGATTGGGTTTCGTGCATACAATGTCTCAACACCGATCCCTCACAAGAGTTCACTACCTCTGCTAACACCCCTCTCCCCCATCCCCACCTGCGTCCTACTAAGGTTGGAAGTGCCCTACGTGCTGTCCTATCTCTCTGGCCCAAACACTTAGCATTTCTACATCTCTAAAATTCTAAGTTTCTAGTTTTTTGGGTTTTTTGTTTTGTTTTGTTTTTTGGGTCACACCTGGTGATAACACAGGGGATACTCCTGGCTCTGCACTCAGGAATTACTCCTGGTGGTGCTCAGGAGACCATATGGATGTTGGGAATCGAACCCAGATTGGCTGTGTGCAAGGCAAATGCCCTACCCGCTGTACTATTGCTCCAGCCCCAAAGTTTCTAGTTTTGTGTGATTACAGGTTTGTGTTTGTGAGTGGATTCAAGTGAAAGGTACTGGGTGGGAAAGATAAAGTTGAGTTACCAGTGGCAAGAAAGCCGGAGTCACAATAGGTCCCGGAAGCAAAAATAACTTTTTTGACCAGAACCCTCTACATCACAACATGGCCCACAGCCTTGCCATCGTCTGACGAGGATGTGTGCGTTGTACAGGGAAAAGGAGGGGTACAAACAGGAGCACAGAGCACACGTCTAAGGCCAGAGCTGATGCCACAAGGAGCAGGGAATGATGACCAGAGGGGCCCGCAGTGAGCCCTGGGACTTTCAGAAAAGTAGCACAAACCTAGAACCAGAGACCCAAGACATAAAACATGAGAATACATTTGGATCTCAGACAACTTCCCTCGTGGTTAAAGAACAAATGGCCCACTCACCCTCCCTCCCTCCCTCCCTTCCTTCCTTTCTTGGTTTTTGGGCCATGCCTGGAGATGCTCAGGGGTTATTCCTGGCTCTGTGCTCAGGAATCACTCCTATGGTGCTCAGGGGACCATATAGGATGCTAGGGATCAACCCAGGTCAAGTGCATCCAAGGCAAACACCGACCCGCTGTGCTACCCCTCTGGCCCCCAAGTTTGCTTCTAAAACCTATGAACTTTGGGATGTGAATGAGTGTGTGTGGCTGTGCCTCCCCAACCAGCCTCCCCCAACAGAAACCAGAAAGGGTGACTAGATTAACTCCATGATTCAACACCACACATACCTGGCTCAGCCCAGAGCTCACGGGGGCTGAGGGACCCAAGACAGGGTCATCTGAAGAGTCCAGTGAAGAACACACCCGCAGGAAGGCCAGGCCAAAGGACTGGTGACGCGTGAAGGGCTGGGAGCAGGTGAGGCGAAGTCGATCCCAGGAGTCACCCGAGGCTGAAGCCAAGAAATCACCTCCAGGGCAAAAAGTGAGTGGAAGAAAATGCTTCAGTGAGAGGGAAAGAGGAAATGAGAGCTATTATCCCAGAAAGGCAAGACAGGGCCTACAGATGCCAACAAATGGGAGGACAGGAGTCACCAGTGCTTGCAGACTTGATACCTGGCAGAGCCAAGCAGGCTAGTGGGTCCACTCAGACAGCATCACTCTTGGTCATTTTCACACTGGTCCCAGCACAAGTATTCCCTCATTCTACACATGTGTATATGTGTTTCTGCATAGAACCCGGTCATGCTCAGGGCTTACTCCTGGCTCTATGCTCAGGAATCACTCTGGCAGGGATCAGTCAGGGAAGACTATATGGGGTGTCGGGAATTGAACTGAAGTTGGCACAGTGCAAAGTAAGTGGCTTAACCCTGGTACTACTGCTCTAGCCCTGCATAATTTTTTTGTGGTACAGGGATTGAATCCAGGCCTCACATGTGTAGCATGTACTCTACTAACGAACCAAATCCTTGGGCATCCTGATATTTCATTTGAAGAGGAAGTATCTGTTGCGCTGGGGTCTGTTGTGACCATGTGCCCAATGAATTAGCTGAGCTACCCTTCCTTGATCACCCTGGATCACCCTTCCCGGACTAGAAAGACGAAACTCTCTCAGGCATCTCATGCCTTCTATCCTCACTCACAGTATCTCACAACAGGGGCTGGAGTGGTAGTGCAGCGGGGCTGCCAACCCAGGTTCGATCCCCGGCACTCCATGTTCCCCCGAGTCTCACTAGAGTGATCCCTGAGCCAGAGCTAGGAGTAACCCCTGAGCCCTGAAGGGTGTAGCCCCATAAAAAACCAAAATCACATACCAGTATTATACCTCTTCTCACTTTCAGCTCTCAGCACTATCTACCTTGTATACCCTCTTCCTTCACAACATTACAAACACCTCCAATTGAAAAAAAAAAATTGTGGGGCTGGAGCGATAGCACAGCAGGTAGGGTGTTTGCCTTGCACACAGCCAACCCGGGTTCGATTCCCCAGCATCCCATATGGTCCCCTGAGCACCGCCAGAAGTAATTCCTGAATGCAGAGCCAGGAGTAACCCTTGTGCATCACCAGGTATGACCCAAAAAGAAAAGAAAAAAAAAATTGTTTTTGGGTATACCAGTCTGTGCTCAGGGGTCCATTTGGGATGCTGGGGATCAAATCCAGGCTGGCTGTGCGCAAGGCCTTACCCACTGTATTATCTCTCTGACCCCCTTATTTACTTCCAATTATAAATGCAGGCTTCCAACATAAATGCAGACAAATCCTTGTGAGCCTGTAAATCCCTATGAGGCAGAGCTTAGTTTCTTCTATATTGCTGAATGAACAGAGATTTGCATAGAAACACAATATGCTACCTAACTGTAGCCATCATATATATAAATATATATATATACACACACGTATATATACACACACACACATACATACACACACATATATATATCCTTCCATTACTTATATGCCAACATTTATCCTATATTCACATTTCCTGACATTCATTCCCTAATATGGGTTCTACATCAGATCTGAGCCATATTATTTGTCAATATAAATCATGCATCATAAACATCCCATGTATTCTCCACCTTCCCCAGCCCTCCTCATCTTTTGTGGTGCCAGAGATCGAGCCGAGCTCCAGGCCTGCAGAGGCAGAGCACGTGCTTGGCCACATCCCTGGACGTGCATTTTCATTACAGGGAAGTCACACAGATGCTAACCCCTCCATTCCTCACGGGAACCCTTACAATAGGGGCCCTTCCACAGTGTACCCCGGCAACACTTACAGGCCTCCAATCTCTTTCTCTCCCACCCCCCTGGCTACTTTTGTCTCTATTTCATTCATTCATTCCTTGGTTTCCTTTCATTTATTGTGCCGGATATGGAACCCATGGCCTCTCAAGGCGTATGCTCTCCCACTGACTTAAAGGTCCAGCCATCTTTATCTATTCAGTTTTTTGGGCCATACTCAAATTGGTAATTGGAGGAGCATGTGGAGCTGCTGAACCCAGGACTCTGGCATGCAAAGCATGAGCTCCAGTCCTTTTGAGGTACCTCCCTGGCCCCGTCCTTACCATCTTTAAACATGCGAACCCCTGAGCGGTTTTTCCCCTGCTTTGAATCCATGAGGGACATTAGCATGGTTGCAGGGAGCAGGGTGACAAAAGGTCTGTCCAGGGGCCAAGAAGAACGGCCCACATCGATTTGCAGGAAAGCACAGCCACAGTTACCTGGGGATAAAAGATTGAGAGGACAGCGTGATGCGATGATAGGAACTCCCTCGACAGCAGACAAAGGAATCAGGTGGCCACAGGACATACCCCAGCTCTGGAGCTCGATGGGAGCTGAGCAAGGACAGGCAATATATCGGGTCCCAGAGGGAGCCAGCTAGAGGTAGGATGAGATCCAGCTGCTAAAGACAATTTACGCTGCTTCTCCTGTCAGAAATCTGCCCCTGATGAAGAGACTGGTCACTTCCCTGACCTCAGACTGTGACAGGCAGGGCTCAACTCTGGAGACTGCTCCTGGTGGTGCTTGGGGGACTGTATGATGCTGGGGATGAAATCTGGGTTGAGCATATACAGGCAAGTGTCTCACCTGCTGCACCATTTCTCCAGCCCCAATTCTATGGCTCCTAATCCATGCCGGGAAGCCCAGCATCTTTTGGTACTGACAGAACCAAGATCAATGTTCTTTGCCGAGTTTCTGTGCCAGATAAACAAAGGTCAATCTTTTCAAATCCTTACAGAGCCTTCCTGGTTAAGATTGTGCAGTTCATCCCCAGCACCTTCCTGACACTGATATTTAGAGGCATATACTGATTGTTTGCTGGCATGTATAATGATGTCAAGACCCGGGTCTTCCCCCAGACCAGAGGCCAAAGTGGGCTGCTATGCTGCATCCTTCAGGGAGACCTTCATCCTGAATTCCAAGGGAATGGAATCCTAGAAGATCTCCCCAGCACATACCATCAGGGGAAAGAGCCCCTCTCCTGTCCATGCTAGGTGGACCTTATTCCAAGAGGGGTTTTCAGCTAGACTGAATCCAGATATTTGGAGGGAACGTGGGAGAAGAGCATGTCCCCTCTGACCTCCCAGAGATTTCTAGTCCCCCAGAGAACTCCCTCACCCACGTCGATGTAGCCAATGGTCACTGCTTTCTCCAACTGTAATTCCACTTTTAGTTGGCCACTTTTGTCACGTGGGCAGCTGAGCCAAGGTCCTCTCTGACTGTCTGGGTTCAGCAAGTTCTCCACAGGGTACTTGGGATCCTAAATCAGAGAAGGGGAAAAAAACATCAAGTTCACAATGCCAAGGGGGAAAAGGATGCCACCCAGGAATGACAGATTCTTAGTCTCCAACCTTCCTGGGCATCTTTACATAACTAAGGAGGAGGAAGACCAGGGGAATTTCAAGCTCCTATGGACCTACAGGTAGCAGTGATTCCCACTTATTTACCAGACTACATTATTTAATCTTCACCACAGCTCTTAGGTGGTTACTAGCACCATTAAAAATATCTTGGGGGGGGGTGTGTTGGAGCGATAGCACAGCAGGTAGGGCATTTGCCTTGCACACGGCCGACTCGGTTTCGATTCCCAGCATCCCATATAGTCGCCTGAGCACTGCCAGGAGTAATTCCTGAGTGCAGAGCCAGGAGTAACCCCTGTGCATTGCCAGGTGTCACCCCCCACCCCAAAAAAAAGTCTTCGGGGGGTGGGTGCCGTTCTGGGTCACACTCAGTGGTGCTTAGGGCCTATTCTTGGCTCTGCAGTCAGAAGTGACTCCTAGAGGTATTTGGGGCATGATATGCAGTGCTGGGGATTGAGCTGTGGTCAGCTGCACATGAGGCAAACGCCTTATCCCCTGTATTCTTTCTCTGGACCTATCATCACTTCTTAGTTAACAGACTAATGAACTCAGGGCTAGATTCAGAAACTTAGGCACAATGTCAAATAACCAATTAAGTTCAGAATTCTCAGGTCTTTGAATCTGAAACATCCCACCTCTACACTAAGTACTTCTTTTCCTGTGTACAACAAGCTCACAGTTGTCTCTGGAAACAACCTAAAGGCAAGGGCTCTATTTCTCACCTTGACATTGGATTGTCAAAGACAGGACAACGCTGCTTTTATTAGATTAGGAGTTTCCTGAACATGGAATCAAGTCTCCCATTTTTTCACTCCTTGTGAAAATAAGAAAAAAAGAAATCATGCCCGCCAGTGATAATACCTGAGAGGAAAACGACACCACATGGCTAATCTTCACAGGAGCCATGGTGGGCCCAGCAGGAACCTGCACCTGTCCCAGTTACACAGCCTGAATGCTTTCTTCTCAGATTGCTTCTGATGCTGCTTATAGTGTGGATCCGTCAGCTTCCAGAAGAGAAATCATGTCAGTCCTGACGAAGAGAACAAAAGAAAAATCCAACTAGCTAGGGTGTCTCGTTATTGGACTTACTTGCAGTCTGTGAAATGGTTTCTGATGAGCTTCAGGAGCTTGGTGGGAACAGAGCGAGACCAGCTGAGGAGAGGCCCTCAAGGGTGAAACAAATGCAAAGCAACCACAGGGTACGAGAGCAGGAAGGACAAGAGACCACAGTGCTCTGGGAGTGCTGGACATAAGTGCTCCCAAGAGCATGAACTGTACCTTCAATCATTCATCTTTCATTACGGCTAGTGGTACCAGGCTAGGGACCAAAGCCAGGGCTGTAGACGAGAAGCCACGCGCTCTACCGCTGAGCCAAATCATTCATCTTTCCATTCCTAGAGCCTAGCACATACTAATGATGTACCACAGATGCTCAACAAAATATATAATGTAAGCCTCTAATCTTTTCCTTCCTCCCATTAAAAGAAATCTTCCTAAATTAGGTTTCATTAAGTTACTTCTTTGCTATAAATTTTCAATGGCTTGTTGATGTATGCAAATCCTTGCTATATGATAGATACTAAATATATTATAATTCAGTTTGGCCCCTCAAAGCATCGAAAAATGTAGATTATAGTTTCAGTTTCATCTCTTACGAGTTCCTTTTTCTTTTTTTCTTCAGTTTTTGAGGCATACCTGGCTGTACAAAAGACTTACTCTTGGCTCTGTGCACAGGGGTCACTACTGGCAGGACTCGGGGAACTAAAGTACTGCTGGGAATCAAACCCTGGTCAAAAAAAAATAATAAAATTAAAAAAACAACAACTACAACAAAAAAACCTGGTCAGTGGCATACAAGGCAGATCCCTAACTGCTGAACTATTGCACCAGCTGCTCTTTTTTTGAGAAATTCTTGCTTACCACATCTTCCTACACCAAGTAGTGCAGCTCTTTGAGGATATGAATTTTTTTTTTTTTGATTTTTGGGTCACACCCAGTGATGCGCAGGGGTTACTCCTGGCTCTGCACTCAGGAATTACTCCTAGCAGTGCTCAGGGGACCATACGGGATACTGGGAATCGAACTGGTCGTGTGCAAGGCAAACATCCAGCCCCAAGGACATGGACTTTTGTCATGTTCGTTATCTCTTACACTTCAGAGACATGAGAATATGCAGCAGACACGATTTCCACTGAAACTAGTTTATAGGCTGTCTGAGTATATGCTGATCGCTTGCCACTGGGGGGCTGTGGGGGGAGTGGAGAAAATGGGAGGACTTTATTTAGTCAGTAAAATTCTTTCCCCTCTTTTCTGTTTCTTTTTGACCACACCTGGCTGTGCTCAGCACTTATGCCTGGCTCTGTGCTCTGTGTTCAGGGATCACTCCTGGTAGGGCTTGGGGACCAGATGTAGTCCAGGGGCTTGAACCTGGGCCAGCTGTGTGCAAGGCAAGCGCCTTACCTGGTATCCTAGCTCTCTGGTCACTAGTCAGTGTAATTCTAACGTAAGTATCTGAGAAACTCATTGGCTAATAAAGGCAAAAAATTGGTAAAACAATTCTAAAAAGACATATCAATGAGATGGGTATGAATTTCTTTTTTTTTTTTTCTTTCTGGGTCACATCCAGCGATGCTCAGGGCTTATTCCTGGCTCCTCGCTCAGGAATTACTCCTGGTAGTGCTCGGGGGACCATATGGGATGCTGGGAATCGAACCCGGGTTGGCTGTGTGCAGAGCAAACTCCTTACCCCCTGTACTATCGTTCCGGTCCCGGTTATAAATTCCTTTGACAATTACAGAATCACATAGCAATTTAAAACACTTCATGTGAAAAACAAGCAAATAGTTGGGAGCACTACAGGTTATGTCCCCTAAACTCAACTCATCCTCCCAATGATACTCAAATAGAAGATGAAAAATTTGGGGAGCTGGAGCAATAGTACAGTGGGGAAGGTGTTTGCCTTGTATGTGGCCGACCCAGGCTTGATCCCCAGCACCCCATATGGTCCCACAAGGACCACCAGGAGTAACCCCCAGGCACTGCTGGGTGTGGCCAAGCCGCCCACCCCCTCAAAAAAAAAACTTTTTTGAAACTCAGATAAAAGATGGAAACACAGAATTACTTTAAGATAACAAAAACTGGTGAGAATACTAACGACAAACTGAAAATAGATATTTGTACATAAAAACTTAGTTTTCAAAATATGCATTTTTAAAAAATACTACAAATAAGGCCAAGCCATTCAATAGATAATTAGAGGAGATAACATAAGTTCACTAAGATAAAATCTAAATGGGAAAAAACTCAACTTATATATAATAAAATCCTCAGCCTCCTAGCTATTAAGAAATTGCAAATACTTTTTACCTCTAAAACAGGAAAACAATCTGTAAGAGATCTCTCAGTGCTCGCAGAACCAATGGGTGTCAGGGACCAAATGAGGGGCTTGCACATGTACCCTATCCCTTTGAACTTGGTCCCTTATCCTGGTTTTTTTTTTTTTTTTTTGCTTTTTGGGTCACACCCGGCAATGCTCAGGGGTTACTCCTGGCTCTGCACTCAGGAGTTACTCCTGGCAGTGCTCAGGGGACCATATGGGATGCTGGGAATGGAACTTGGGTCGGCTGCGTGCAAGGCAAACACCCTACCCGCTGTGCTATCTCTCCAGCCCAGTGTGTTTGTTTTTTAATGAATACAAGTAAATATTTTCTAAGCATCTTTCTCCAACTTTTTACTCTAATTTTTTGTTGTTTTTTGGTTTGGGGGCACACCTAATAGTGCTCTCAGGGGTTACTCCTGGCTCAGGGATCAATCCTGGTGGTCCTTAGTGGACCATATGGGATGCCTGGTATTGAATCTGGGTTGGCTGCATGTAAAGAAAATGCCTTACCCATTGTACTATTGCTCCGCCCTCTACTCTATTTTTTGATATTTGGCCATGTTTATGTATATTTCTAGTTTATTCCTTTTAAAGGTTACATTGTATTCCATTGTGAGAGTTTTTTTTTTTGTTTTGTTTTGGTTCAGCTTTTGGGTCAAACCCAGTGGTGCAGATGGGTTACTCCTGGTGGGGTTCAATGGACCATATGGGATGCCAGGGACTGATTTCGGGTCAGCCACATGCAAGATAAGCACCTTACCTGCTGTGCTCTTTGGCCCCGCCATTGTTTAATTTTTTGCTAAATTTGTTCGTTTTTCAACTAAGGATACTCAAATAAGGAGTGCTACAGCTTTTTTTTTTTTTTGCAGTACCAGATTCAAACTTGGTGTCTGTCACATGCAAGGCAAGTGCTTTACTGCTAAGCTGTATCCTTGCCTCTCTAGAGTTTTATGGTATTTGCTATTAAAAAATACCATGTTTCTCTTTATGCCCTTGCGAATTTCCTTAAAGCAGCATGGTTCAAATAAGTTAATGAGCCATCGTTAACAACCGATGGCAACATGTTTCTCTGTAGTATTCTATTTTCATTCATTATTGCTCCCAAGCAGTGCTCAGAGCCCAGGCTGGGGTTGGGGTCAGATAACTCTTGGCTCTATTCAGTCACCTGGGGCCCAGCAGTGTCAGGGACTATACTCTGCCTGATCCCTGGCATGGACAGTATTTTCTTATAAACTGGGAGTATGCATGGCTAACGAAGATAATGGCTGGATCTGGGGAACATGAGAGGATACTAGATATCAGTGGAGAACACAGAATAAAGCTCAACTTTAATCTGCATTCATTTCATTTTAAGTTCCCCACCCCTTCCCTTCTTTATTGCTGACAATGTTGCTGCAAAGGGCTAGATGCCACATGCCTGCCTGGCTGGGGTGCTCACACATTTTTCAGCTTTGGTGCTCCTGGAGGTGTACTCCTTCAGTTGCAGTGCTTGCACTTGTACTTCACTGTAGGTTGTGCTCACAGTTGAGGCACAAAAAACGTGGCTGTGGTGCTAGCCGGGAGTTATTGTGGTACCCACACACTCATTTGCTAGGGGTTCATACTTTCTGGCCAAGTGTTGTATTGCTTTCAGTTGTGGTGCTCAGGAGATGGCATCCCACTCCACATTTTTTTGGTGGGGATACTAGTACTCAAGGGTTACTCCAGCCGTGTTCAAAGGTCCTTCTGGTGCTAGGGACTGAGCCTTCCGGATGCCAACCATGCACTCAGACCTTTGAGCTACCTTCCTTACTCCCCTCCTGTTTTGGTGGTACTTACACATACTAGCCAGGAATCACTTGCATTTTCAGAGAGCACAGACATTAGAGATGTCGGGATTGAACTTCACACGTGTAGAACTCCAGGGATTCAAACCCAGGACCAAACACTGGCATGGCAGGACCGCGAAGCCACTGCACTATTATTCGATTTATTTATTGGTGTTCAGGGCTTATTCCCCTGTGCTCAAGGATCACTCCTGGTGGGACTGGGGATCGTGTGCTGACCTCTGTACTAACACTCTGGACCCTATTTTATCTTTTTTGAAAAGGATGAAAGGGCATTAGGATAGCTTAATGGTAGAGTGCCTGCCTTGCGGACCAGAGGCTCTGAGTCTGATCTGCAAGGTCCCACGTGCTGAGTGCAATCTTGGCTGCACTGTGGTTTGTGATTCCAGGCTCCATGAGGAAGTAGAGATCTCCAGGGCTCTGTGACCAAGTGTGTGAGCTTTGAGGGCATCACAACTAGAGAGGGAAACCCTTGTTCCAAACCAAAACTCAGGGCTGAGGATGTGGGTAGAGCACCTGTCTCACATGTGAGGCCCCGGGTTTGATTCCTGACACTGCAAAACCAATACAATTAAAAGCCATGAGCCAGGGAGATAGTAAGACACTTATCTTGTACATGACTGACTTGAGTTAGATCCCTGGCACCACATGTGGTTTCCGGAGCCTACCAGGAGTGATCCCTGAGCACAGAGACAGGAGTAAGCCCTGAGCACCAATGTGTGTGGCCTAAAATTAAAAACAAACAAACCTCAGAGATGGAGAGATAATACACTGGGCAGTGTGCCTGCCATGCATGTGGCTGATTTGGGTTCTATTCCTGGACCCTCATAGGGTTCCCCAGGTACTGCCCTCTGAGCAGTGCTGGGTATGGCCCCAAAACTAGAAATAAATAAATAAATAAAACCCACATGAGTCTACCGTATAAATATAATGTATTCTAAGTGTTTCCACATAATGAAAACAATTCCCCCCTTAAGTAAAGAAGATGCCTGTCAATGTTGTAAATAATGCTCTGTAATTTCCCGATAGCACCCAAATAAAGATGATTTGCATTCGGGTACGTTGTAAACCATGAGCTCATCATTCTAGCCTGATCCATCAGACAGATTTAGAGCAAGTCCAAGGAGGCCGTGTGAATGGGACCACAGGCTTGCAGCGGTAGCGCTGGGTGGACAAAGAACAGGGTGCTGGAGATGGGTTCTGAAGCTGTAAGCACGGGTTGGGCACGATGAATGAGGTGCACAGAAAGTAGAAAAAAGGCAGGAGGTGGGGACGCGGACGTGGCTAAGAAAGAGTTACGCGGGGACGGGTGAAGTGGTTGCCGTGACGCGGGAGCGTAGGAAGCGGTCCTGGAGGGCCGCAAACCTTTACAGCTCTCCGAGGCGTGGGAGACGAACCGCGCGGCCATGCCCCGGCTCTGCAGACCACGCTGCTCTGTCCACTTCTTTGATAGCCACCCATCCCCCCTTTCGGTCACTCGCCCCCCCATCAACAACCCCCAAATGCCCTCACCCGGAACAAGGAGCCACGGAGAGCCACCGCCGCAACAGGTCGTGATTACCAAAACCTCGTTCTCCCGCCAATTCTTCCCTCTGACCTACGCCTTCTGACCCCGAGCTTCACTTTTCCGCCTCCCAAAGCCTGGGGATTCATTCTGGGAGCTCAAGAAGCCTCTATTTCTGCAGAAATGACTCTGCCCGAGGCAAGAAGGCATTATGCGATCTCCAGTGCAAGGCAAGACACATATTTTACTGCATATTTCCACACTCGACTAATTTGAGAGAGCGGATTAAAACTTCCGGGTCGGGCTCGATGCATTATGGGAAACGTAGTCTTTCGCTTCCACGCCTCACTCCTGGAAGCTCAGCGCGAGGGAGCGTCGCAAAAATTGACGTTTTACGGACACCTCTTCTCGGTCCTCCAGAAGGAAGAACTGGTAAAAAGGCTTCCCCCGAGCCTAACACATACCCAGTCTCTCATCTGTCGGGAACTCTTTCCCGCCGAAGCCGGGAAGTGCACGGTAACCATCCCTCCACGACCTTTCAGTGAGTAGAAGGCAGACGGTCTCTTAGCCCCACTCAGGGCTCGGCCGGTCTTGGCGCCCCGCCCCCTTCGCCGGAGCCCGCGCGGCCGATTGGCTGCGGGCGCTTGAGCGGCGGAAGCAGCTGGCTCGCGCGGCGAGCCGGGGGGGAGGGGGAGAGCTGTGAAGATGGCGGCAGTGGTGGAGGTGGAGGTTGGAGGAGGTGCCGCCGGGGAACGGGAGCTGGACGAGGTGAGGAGCGTGGAGCCGAGGAGAGGAGAGACTCGGCACGGAACAGAAGGGCGGGAGCGGCAGGTCGCGGGAGCCCTTGCGGAGCCCGGCTCCTGAGAGAGAAGAAGGAGCCACCTGGGGGGCGGGTGCACCGGGAGGGAATCCGAGGAGCCCTGATTTCGGGGACTCCGAGGCGGTCATGGAGGTACGAGATTCGCCCGGAGGGCGGGAGGCGGAGGCCGGGGTAGGTGGTCGGGGGAGTGCGGAGTTTGAGGTGATGCTTGTGGGTGTGGGGGGTGGTCCTGGGGTGGGACGCCGGGGCTGAGAGGAGCGAGGGCTGGAGGGGTGTGGAAGCGCTGACAGCCCGCGGTGGGAGCCGACTCGGGGGCGGTGGGTGCGGCTGGGCTCGCGGACCCGGGGACCGTGCGCCCGGCTTCCTCGCTTTCAATTATTCATTGATCCTTCCATCCTCGGACTTTGTACGGAACGTCTGCGTCGCGAACTTTTCTTTGGTCACGGTCAATGGCAGGACTCGTGTACCGGCATCCATCCGTTCACGCAGGAAACGACGACCACCGCAGTTTCCCCCCATCCCCCCCCCACCCCCGGTCCCGAGCCCGCGTGCTCGGGACCGAGGACCTCCTTCCTGTCCTCGTAGGGCCCTCGGGTGTCGGGGTGGGAAACGAGCTCCCTTGGAGCACCGCGGGGACCGGCCAGGGTGCGCCGAATCTGCAAGCATGAATGATTTCCTCCTGCTGGACCGAGGGGCCGACGGAGGGTGTATCAGGCCCCGCGGACCTTTCCTCGTAGCCGCTTAATAACTGGTGTATTCAATTGCCAGTGATCCTTGAAGGAATCGTTAGGAGGAAGGAGACACTGAGTGTGAAGGGAAAGGACAGCGCTGAGCAGCAGAGAGCAGGTGAGAAAGGAAAGGGCAAAGAGGCCGAGGCCAAGGTGCGCGCTCACCGCGACCCCCAGCGGGACAGCGCGGAGGAAGGGGATTGTCGGGGTGGGGGGTGGCATCTGAGGGATCAGACTTTTAAACACCCTGGCAGCGGGGGCAGCCCGGTGGGGACCACTGGAGAGGAGGTGCAAAGAAAGCCGATGTGCAGTAGAGAATTGAAGCCTGTTGCTTGGTAGAGGGACTTTCTTGCTTGGACCTGGTTGAGATCTTTAAAGTGTGGGGAGGAAGCTTGAAACTGCCAGGGGATGATGCAGGGAGAAGCAGCACTTTAGGGACCCTCCCTTCTCCCACTTCTCCCCTCACCCCTCCCCCCCCCATCACCTCTAGAGATCAGAGGTGTTTGGGTACCACTTGGCTGATGAGGTGGAGTGACCAGGGGAGAAGTCACCGCCAAGGCTCCTTCCAGCTTTAGGTTTCCGTGATTAAGGTTGACTGCAGTCCTCTGAGCTATACGTGAAAGAGCTTTGTAAATACTGTTCTGAAGTTACTAGATATGACTTGTTAGTCATCCTTTGTGGGAGCCAAATCTCAGGGCTTAAGATAAAGAACTGAAGTTGTGGCAGAGGAGAAATGAACTTAACAATTTTGGTTTTTGGCTGGAGCAATAGTTCAGTGGGTAGGGCGTTTCCTTGCATGCAGCCGACCCGGGTTCGATTCCCAGCATCCCATATGGTCCCCTGAGCACTGCCAGGAGTAATCCCTGAGTGCAGAGCCAGGAATAACCCCTGAGCATCGCCAGGTGTGACCCAAAAAAGCAAAAAAAAAAAAAGTTTTGGTTTTTGTTGCCCCCTCCTTTCCCTTTGTTGTTGGGATGACCAAGAGTTCCTCACACGTGGTTCAGCTGGCCTAAATTATATTTATGCTTCTTAGCTTTCCCTCATTCGAAGAAGATTCTAGAATCCAAAAGCTGCTTCCAGTGTTATGCCTAGAGGCAACTGTGTATGTAACCACTAACATACACAGTAATTCACCCCAGAAACTTGTTACTTGTTTCATTTACTGAGAAGGAATATAATTTGTTGTCTGGAAAATTCTCTATGGAAATTGTGTTCTTTTTGTGTTTGAAAAATAACTCTGAGATCAATCATTCTTTAAAGTTCAGTGTCCCAGTTCACCCCCACCCCTCTAAGCCAGGTCTGATATGATAGACCTTAGTTTCTAAGGAAGTTTTCCACAGAAGTCTCCTCAGCTGTTTCTTAGCAGTTTTAACTAGTGAAAAAAAAAATCTATGCTTTAATTTGTAATTATGGAGAGGGCTACTGTTTTATGCATTGGGAGTTCAAAAATGAGCCAGACAAGATTTTTACAACTGGGACCAGAGTTATAATACAGTGAGCAGGGCATTTGCCTTGCATACAGCCAATTTAGATTCAATCTCTGACATCCTATCTGGTCCCCTGAGAAATACCAGGAGTAACCTCCGAGTATTGCTGGTGTGACCCAAAAAAGATTTTTACAACTATTTATAGGCTAGTAAAGTGACATGTAATTTGCCATTTTTAGTACCAGATGATTAGTACAACAGAAGTGCATAAGTAGTGCAGTGGAACACAAGAAACATGAGTTTGCTGTGGGGGAAGTCAGTGAGAACTTTATGGTACAGGTGGGTTTGAGTCAAAAAACTAATAGTTGAGTTATGAAGAAGCAGTGATTTGCATGTGGCATCTGAAAGCAGCCATCGGTTTATGTTCCATTCCTCTCGGTGCTTTTGTTTAAAAAAAAAATGACTTTCTTGCGTGCTTGAGATAATTCAGTCTTTACAAATTACTTCCGTTGTGGACAGGTGGATGGAAAAGACTTAGGAACAGAACTACAGTAGAAGAGATGTTGTTTATTGAGCCCCCTAACTGTAAACCAGCCTCTATTTGAATTATTTACTTACCCTTAACTTACGCAGTCTCATTTATTACTATAATAGCATGCTGGTGAAGTTTGATGGTATTAGCTCCATGTTACAGCTGAGGGGAACTGAAGTTCGAATGGTTAAATAAATTCCCTGGGGTTTCACTCTTAATGAGTGGGAAAGTGCAGATTCTAACCTGAGTCTTCCTTTGCTTTACTGAGCATTGTGGTTCCATTTTTCAGTTTATTATTTATGCTCTGGGGTAGGTAGTTTATAGTTGATGATCTTCATTATCTCATGTGAAATTTGATACCATTTATTTGATAAGTGATTCAGAAAATTTTTGAATTTTTTGAGTCCCACAGCTGTAAATTTGTGTGTGTGTGTGTTACCTATTTATCATTAAAGAAGCTGAGGCTTAGAGTATTTGCGATATGCTAGGGGCTTGCAATTAAGTGGTATCACTGAGGTTTAAACTTATTCTAGAGTGTTTGTTTCCTCTCAGTTTAAAGACCTAGACTTCAGGCTCTTGTTAGTGAAGTAAACTGTCCGTTTTTTTATGTGCCAAAGCCCCATTTCTGAAACAGGAAGCAGTACTTTTTTCCTTAGCGGGTCAGAGTAGGGGTTAATTAAAGGAATATTGGTTTCTCTATACAGGACCTTTTCTGATAATTTGATTCTGCTGAGTTTCTGGTCATGACTAGTTAGACCAGTGATCAGGGAAAAAGGCTTCGTATTAATCAGGCTCTGATAACCAGCCAGGCTCAGTTCTTTTTTTCATTTTGCCAAGCCACAAGTGCTTCAAGATATCTTAAACTGTAGTACCAAATAGTTAGGAGTTAGGAGTCGTAGAAGCTCACCTACTCCCGGAGCCAGTTAACTCCTCCTTGGAGGAGTAGTTGACCAGTCTCTGAGAGTAACATTGGCACAGAGAACTGACATGGGATCAACCTCAGGTAGAAAGGCACATCAGCCATCCTGGCCAATGCCTGGAATTGTGGAATCTGCATGACCTACTCCCAGTTCTTGTTAATCGTCCCTAATGATGTGATAGAACATGCAGATCAGTGAGTAGTTTCCAGGTCAAGCCAGAGTTAAAAGCAAGTATCCTGGCCTACAAATTATTGTATTATTGTTAATAATACAATATGTGTGAGGAAATACTGCCTCAGACAAGAAGACCTCTACCTTTTCTAGACCCTGTTTGAACTAGGTTAGTAATTTTTGTTGTTTTTGTTTTGGAGCCATACCTGATAGCACCGGGGGCTTATTCCTGACTCTGCTCAAGGATCACTCCTGACTGGCCTCAGGGTGTGGGGGTGGGGTACCGTATGGAATGCTGAGTTGTAGGGAGGGATTAGCTGTCCAAGGCAAGCCCCTTTCCTGCCTTACTGATGCCCTACCCACTGTGCTATTGCCCGACCCCAAGATTGGTGATTTTTATTTGTTTTTGTTTATGGGCCACTCCCAACTGCTCAGGATTTACTCCTGGCTCTGAGCCCAGGGATCACTCCTGATGGGCTAGGGTGTGATCAGGAGGGGTGCTGGTTTGCTGTGTGCAAGGCAAGTTCCCAACCTAGTCCCAAGATTGGTGATTTTTGAACCTTTATTTTGTTGCCTTTTATTTAAACCTGATCTCACTCAGAAGCTTTGTGGAACTTTGTGGAACTTGAAGGGTTTCAGCAGAACCCTTGAGTGTCTCAAGCTACATTCTAAAGATCAGGGGACACTTTATTGCCTACAATATGTTTCTTCAGCTCCTTTGTATTCTGCTACTGTAAGCTTTGATTTTTCTCTCTGTCTTTCTAGACTGTAAGCTATACAGAAGAAGAACCTAGTCTTTGTTCTTGACTTAGCATAATTCCTGGTATACGGCAAATATTTAATAATTGTTGAATATTATTATTATTTAGGGCCATAACTGGCAGTGCTCAGGCATTACTTCTGGCTGGGCTCTGGAGACCTTATGTGGTTCTGGGGATTAAACCTGGGTTGATCGCATGCAATCCAGTGTACTGTTGCTCTGGCCTCATTGAATATTATTTTTAAATAGTAATACTAGCTTTTGTGAATATTTGTGGTATGCCAACTCCTTTGCTTTATAGTACATGCTTTCCTATTGAATGTTTGCAACATCCCTGTGAGAACCGAACTACTTTACTAAATCATTTGTTTCTAGAAGAGAGCGTGAAACCTTTCTCTGGGTTTGGGGTG